TAATTTTGTTATTATAATGAAAATCTCTGGTTTCGTGTCAAATAAGATACTTTAAACCTAAACGTGTGTTCGTGGTTTGTCAAAGAGCAATTTTGAAAATTTAACCCCGGCCAGAGATTAGAGAGAGATTAGCTCCAGCAATTAAGCTCTATTTAATGTGCCACTAGTTATGTGCTCAAAGATTTCCAATTACCCCTCAAAACAATGTCAGATTTATCAAATTCGCATTAAATTTATTATTTATATTTGACATATTTTTTTAATTTTTAAACGACTTTCTTCAAGAACAAAAATTCTTAAATGTTTATTAGGCAAATAAATTTCTTCCCACAAATTGTCTGTATTCAAACATTCTTCATTTTCAACTTGTAATTTAATTTTAGGTTTACATTGAGCATAATTAAAACATTTTGATTGTTTTTGTGTCCTAACTCTTCCTTCAATATTTTTTCTTTTTAAACAATTATTTAATAAATTTAAATATTTTTCTTTTTTTGGCAATTTTTTTAATAATGGTGAAGAAGAAAATGAAGATAAATTGTGTTTTTGTAAAGTTAAAAGTGTATTTCTAGTTAATAGAAGAGCTGGGGGCAAAATGGCGGTCATTTTCGCATTCTACAAAAATTTAAAAAATTATTTTAAATACCATATTTACTAGAGATCGAGCTGGACCTGGATCAAGGCCTGGGTTTTTCCTGTACCCAGAGTCCAGGTCCAGGCATTTTTTTACTTTACTGAGTTTTTCCTGGACTACAGGCCCAGGATCCAGTCCAGGTCAATAAATCAAACTACAGAGTTCAGGAACAGGTCCAAGCTTTTCAAAAATCTCGATCTCTAATATGTATTTATTTGATTAATTACTCAGAGTAATTAGGTATTTTTTCAACCACTCACTAGAGAGATGGGGAGAGGGGGATTAATTAATCGCTAGAAGGGGAGTAATCCATTGTGCTGGAAGTTTAATTAATTTTCATATGGATGGACCTGCATTTTTGGTACTCTTTCTCTAAATGAAAATGGTAAAGAAAAGCTTTGAGTCAAACTTTAGATCATTTATCGAGTATACATACAAATAAGGAAATTGTAAAAATTTAAATGTTTTAAGTATAATTTTGAACTGCCCTCCTAATGGTTTTTAGGCCGATCTTTGGGCCAATCTTTGTGATATTTATCTTTTAATTCTCAAAAGATTATTTACCTATACATATTTTAAACCTACTTTAAAATCTCTGGCATGGACAAAAAAAGCAATATTTTCTGGTAATTCCGATTGAATAAAACCTTCAATTATTTGCCCAACTCCATGTAAATCCACAGAATTAACTAATTGAGGTCTCAAAATTATTTTACTAATAAATTCAGCATCTTCAGGCCAAATACTGAATTTAATAGATTCAAGAAATAAATGTTCGATTGGTGAAGTTGGAGACCGAGAAAGTAATTTCTCTGAAAAATTTTAAAGTTATCTTCTAAAAGAGGATTTTTAATCATAAAATTCTGTTTTTTACTAAAAGAAGCGTGTCGGGACAAAGAAATTAAGATATAATATAAATCGAAATAATCGAAGGACTGGCCTTGTTATACTCTAGGGTCCGACCTAATCTAGTGACTAACATGTACCTAAAATATCTATTTGTCCAGGATATCTTTTTGGAAGAAAAGCAGCAACTTGAGGATTTGCCATAGAAAAGTCCATTAATCCTTTTGTAAAAGGAATAGCACTTGGCGATATTAAAATATCATCCCAGTCTGGAAAACCAATAAATGCAGCACTAAAAAATTTTAAAAGTTTTAAGTAAATATTAACCTAAGAGATAGATTATTCAAAGCTTAAAATAATAACTAATACGTGTTTCCATTAATATACAGTTAACAAAATAATTATAAAGTTTAAATCAAACTTTAATATACAGAAAGGCTTTTCTTAAAAATCACACCAAGAAAAAACAAAAAATTATGAAAAGCACCCCCCCCCCCCATAAGTCCCGCCCCTTTTTCCTCTCATATGTATTTTTCTCATAAAGGTTTTTTATTTAGATTATTAATAGGAGCTCAAAGCTGCCTGAAAAATACCTTAATTTTCATATTTGAGAAGTAATTAATTATTAAAAAGTAGTTGTGTTAATGAATAAAAAATATTAAGCAGATCCTTCCCTACCCACCTTTCTTTAAATTCATATAAGCATTCGTGAAAATTAATTAGTTGATTATTCCAAAGGGTTTCTTCATTTGGATTAAATAATAAATTTTGTTTTTGATTATCAGGCATTCTTAAACTTGATCTTATTTGTAAAATACCTTCATTTTCATAAATTTTAAGTAAAGGAATTAATTCAGTTATGATTGATTGAATATGTGCAATTATTAAATTAGCACCGAGAAGTTTATTTGATTCCATTGTTGCCAAAAATAAATGCCACTTTTTAAAAATTTAAATTAGGGTAGGCATGACCGTCGCGCACATCATGATTTCTTCATGAATTATCGTTACTGTCAAGGATTTTTTTGGATGTTAAAGACCTCTCATTTAATTAGAACCGATTTACGTGCTGTTTTTAGGGAAGGATTAAATAGTTACATCATAAAGGAAAGATAATATAAATCCCTGTTCAGAAAAGGATGCTGGAAATGAGCCAAAAAAAGTATAAAGGTATATTTCCACATAATTTCTAAATAATCGGTATTATTTTAATTTATTGCTTTAATTGTTTTAAATAATAGATCTTCTACTAAATTATACCAAAATCCTTTCATTTTGTTTAAGAAATCCTTTAACTTTATTTATTTCTAATCATTTTGTTTTTACCTGTTCAAATAAAAACATTCTCCCCGGACAAAATATTAATTGACGAAATTTTGAGTCTGCGGGCTTCAATGATATCTAAGAAAATAAAAATAATAATCTTTCAACTCCAAAATCCAAAAAAAACTTTAATTGGTGGAGCTCCTCGTACAGAAATTCCAATTTTATTGTTTGGGGGCTCTTGTCTCCAAGGAAGTTGACAAACAATTCTAAACAAGCCAAGTCGGCAAGGAGCATGAGAATATCCTTCATGGACAGATTCTAAGCTAGCTAAATATCTATTTCCTTCGTATATACATTCTGGATTAATTGATTTAATAAATAATCGTCTTTCCAAATTTATTAAAATCACAACTATATTAGGTTGGGATTCTTGGCTGTTGTATCTTTAATAAAAAAAAGAGAAAAAATGGATAAAGATTACAGGTATTCTCAAAATTTTTATATGATCCGGCATGGAGCGTATAAAAATTACCGTAATACCTTATTAATTGCCCTCCATTAAATAATTACCCCACTTCCATTAATTACCCCATCCAGTGATAGATTGAAACAATAATTACCCCCAAACAAAGGCCCTAAAACACGTTTAAATTTTCGCATAATTATTCTCCCTCGATTAATTACTCCCTCCAGCGGAAGGTTAAACAATAATTACCCAGAGTAGTTATTAAAGGATATACGGTATTTGTCTTTTATTTTTATTACTAATTTTTAATAATTAAAATTTAAATTTCTTCCTTTTTAATTAAATAAAAATACTCACAATCTACTCTGTGGATAATAAAAAGCTCTCAAAACAAAAATATTATCATCTCTAAATTGATCTATAATCCAAGAATAAAATAAACAACGAAAAACAAAAATTCCAACAGCTAATAAAACAAAAGATATTTGATTATTATTAAATAAATATTTTAAATTTAACATTATTTTACATAAATTTATTAGAGTTTTAAATAATTTTACAAATGTAGACATAAATAAGTAATAAAATATGAAAGATTTAGTAAAAAGATAAATATTTGGTTAAGGTCAAAACCAAAAAAAGAATAAAAGTTTTCCATTGTAAAAATTATATGTTCTTCTCTATTATGCATTGTCCTAGAAAATAGAGAGAGAAAAATTGGGAAAAAACCGAGCTCGAGTACGAGGTACTCGAGAAAGTTTAAAATTCTCGGGAAATCTCAGACTATCAACCAGTGCTTCGAAGATCGTACCAAAATTCGTACTCGTACCTGGTACGAAGTACGAGTACGAGCAAAAATTTTGGACAGGTACGAAGTACGAGTACGAGGCCTAAAATAAGGGTGGTACGAGTATGAGCAAAAAAATGGGGGTGGTACGAGGTACGAGTACGAGGCCAAAAAAAGAGGTGGTACGAAGTACGAGTACGAGCAAATTTGAAATTTCGAAGCACTGCTATCAACCTCTGGTTACTAATAATATTGTATGATACTAAATAAATGCGATCTTTAAATGGCCTCCTCCAAAAATTATCTCTAGTAATTAGAATTAAAAATACTTAGGATAGTAGGTTGTAAAAAACTTTATTGAAATATAAATTGGAATTGTATATATTAAGTAGATATGTATTTATAAGTTAAGAAATGTTTATGGTAAAAAATATATTATTTAATCCGCCATTTTTTCCTCAGTCTTATCTTTATCACTTCCCTTGATCCCTCAATATCACACCTAAATTCTCAAACATTCCTTTTAAGTTGATAACGCAGGTTTCATCCATTTACAGCGCTTCAGGCGAAAAAAGTGGAAATTTTTAAAGCTCAGATTCATTCCATTTTCAGTGCCGGCAACAATTTAATAGAATATTAAAAATCGCATAAATTTGGACGAAAATGATTGAGTTTTAAAAACCCCGATAATCTCGCTTTTTGCTCAAAACCCAGGATTCCGGGACGGGATCCCGTAAAATCCCCTGTGTGATCTCGTTGATGATAATCCCTGACAGTCTACGAAGCTCTTAATTTAAAATAAAGGCTATTTTTACATAGCCCCTCCAAAAATTTATCCAAGTCAAACTCTATTATTATATTTACTAGTCAGGATTATTGTAAAAAATTACTAAAATATAAATTGGAATTTTATATATTAAATAAATGATGTGTATTTATAATTAAGAAATGTTCACAGTAAAAAGTATATTTATTTAATTAATTTAAAAATTAACAATTTTCTAATTTTTTCCTTTTTTCCTTTTCTTCTTTTCATTTTCAATACAATTAAATCTTTCCTTCATAATTTTATTAATTTTAAATATTTTTCCATGTCCAGGCACAATATAATCAGCACAACAAATAATTAATTTTCTACTATTTTCTTGTTCTAATCCATTCAAAGATATTGGTCTCCACATTATTGGTAAATCTATATCTTCTGCCTAAATAAAAAATTATTATTAGTTAGTTTCTTTAAATGTTAGAAAAAAAAGATTTTTTAATATAAAATTTCACAGTCATAAACACATCACCAGCCACAATTACAGTTCCATAACGTTCTGTATTCTGTTGGGAAAATTGTTTTTTTATTTATTTCTCTTTAATTAGAAATCAAAAAATTATTAGGAATATTCGTTATTATAGAATCTTGGTAAATATGTATCGAGCTCGCGGCCTAAATGTCCGGGCATTATGTAAAAATAATTTTTGCTACATCCCTCTCCTTTGCCTTTCTTTCCTTTGATTGACACTCTTAATAGTAGAAAATCTTATAAGGGACTTAATATATTCATAACTCCCCTTTATCGCTTCAATCTCCCAATATCACTCAGGTTATCTTAAAACGCAGGATAAAAACCGGGATAAAATCCACTACGGGATCACATTCCATGGCGATTTCTAATTAACAATCTATGTACTAAACTAAATTTTAAATGAAGGTTATTTTCACATAACCCCTCCAAAAATTATAGACATAATTTCTATTATCATACTAGTTAGAATTATAGTAAAAAATTAATAAAATATAAATTGAAATTTTATATATTAAGTAGTTTTTACTGTTTTTGCTGTATATTTTGTGAATATTTAAGGAAACTGCATATTTTGGTGCATATTCTCAAAATAATATTCTCAAATAATTACCCTCGCCCTATTAATTACCCCCTACAGCCAGAGATCGCTTCTATTTTTCGATCCTCTCATAGGGTCTCATACTACTCATAAATAAATATTTAATTACCTTAACAACAACACTAATATCTTCCTGTGTATGTCCTGGAGTTTTAATTAAATTTATATTTTCAGTTAAAGAAAATGTTCTGTTCTGACATTTAAAATTAAAAAATATATATAATTATTTAAATTTATTTAAATTTACTTCAAAAAGGGAACTAAAATTGAATTTCATTCGATGATGGACAATTGTTCCCTTTAAATTTTCTGAATGAGTTTTGTGTAAATTTTTGAAATAATTATAAAAATAATTATTTAAGAATAAATACCTGATAATGAATTGCATCCTTTAAATTAAAGATTAAATACCGTATTTCTTCTAATAGTGCGACCGGTCGATTTATTTTTCAACCATCCTCTATAAGGTCAGTTTATTAGAAGGGGTCGGTCTAATAGAGAGAGTCGCGCTTACAAATTAGCTTCATTCAGGACCGAATTTATTTGAACATATTTGTAGGAAATTAAATGAGGGACTCTATGTTAGAATGATTCGACTGTCGATCTGTATAATCATTTTTAAAATAGCTTACAGTGAATAGATTTGTATTTCCTGAATGATCAGCCTAAAATAAAATTTTGCTTTTCAAATTTTTAGAGGGAAAGGGAGGTGGTAAATTAAAAATAATGATCAATTTAGAAATAAAATATAATTTATTTTTACATGTCCATGTGTTGTAATCACAATATCTATCTTAATAAAACTTAAATTTAAATAATTAAAATTTTAATAACCGCTGGAGGTGCAATAGCAAGATTTGCTAATTCTTTAAACAAAAATTTCTTTAAAAAATATTTTAAAAATTAAACTTTCGATTAAATCTGTCCTTCCATTTATATCTGTAGCCAATCCTGTATCTACCAAAATAATTTTCCCTTCATCTTTTATGAGAGTTATGCTTGCCACAAATGTGTATCCTAAATCTGATTGCCTTGCTAGACCCTTAAATTTAAATAATTATCAACAATATTTGAGTGGCTGTTTATGAAAGTTTTGACTGATTATGTTTAATATTTCCTATATTATCTTTCTTATTATAGAAAGAGTTTAGGAAAAGTTCAGCCACCGGGCAGGATTCGAACCTGGCGACAACGCTGACAGTAATCGCTCGGCCCTGCTCACACAAATGCAGGTGCTCTACCACTGAGCTACCGGGGGGCATCGACTAGTGCACCGAATAAGCCGGGGAATCATCCTTACATTATCTTGCAGCTTAATACTTATTAGCTAAACAGAAATCCCGGATATCCATTACTCAATACCTACATAACATCCTAACAAAAGAATTTTTGAGTGAAAAATCATGACTTGAACAGCCTTACAAGCAGTGATGTCAAAGTTCCAAGATTTCTCTGGAACTAGTTCCAGTTCCAGAACTAGGATTTTAATTTTCGTAGTTCCAGTTCCAGTTCCGGAACCAGGTTTTTAATTTTTGTAGTTCCAGTTCCAGTTCCGGAACTCCATTTTTGAAATTCCTTAGTTCCAGTTCCAGTTCTGGAACTAGTTCCAAGCTAGTTCTAGTTCCAAATTTTTAAATTTTTGAATATGAAAGGATTTATCAATTTTAACATATAAAGGCATAACACTACTCCCACAATTGACTCGACACTCAACACTCGATAGTCGTCCGTGTCAAATGTCGAGTGGTTTCTCATGCAGTCTGCACCATATACTCTCTAGTGTTCACGGGATCCCGTAACGGGATTTTTTCAAAATTTTTTAAGCGTCAGGCTGCCGCGGGATTAATCCCGTAATCCCGATAATCCCGTTCTAAAATTTAGTGGGATCCCGGCGGGATTTCGGGATTTTCACATAAAGAATTTTAACGGGGAGATCAGAGGATGTGAAGAGATTAATGGATTTAAAAGGATATCTGGGGATATTTTTGGTGATATCTGGGTTATAAGAGGATTATGAGTGATAACGGAGGATTTAAGGAGATTGGATGTGTCCTGTGGATAGCGGGATCCTTTTTACGTAACAGATATCGAAGAGATCAGAGGATTTGAATGGATTAAGGGATTTAAAAGGATATCCGGGAATTCACTTTTTCAGCGCCGCAGGCGAAAATTTTGACAATTTCTAAGGTCTTAGGCCAACAAAATTCACTTATTCAGCGCCGCAGGCGAAAATTTTGAGGATTTCTAAGGTCGTAGGCAGAAAAAATCCACTTTTTCAGCGCCGCAGGCGAAAATTTTTAGAATTTTGGAGTTCAAGCAGCCAGATTTCTTCCATACTCAGCGCGCTGCAGGTAATTTTCGGGGAAATTTTGTCAAAAATATACCCCCAGGAACTAGTTCCAGAACTAGTTCCAAAGCTAGTTCCAGACATTTACTAGTTCCGTAGTTCCAGTTCCAAGCTAGTTCCAGGCATTTACTAGTTCCGTAGTTCTAGTTCCAAACTAGTTCCACATAATCGTTAGTTCCGTAGTTCTAGTTCCGGAACTGGAACTAGAACTAATTAGTTCCGGAACTGGAACTGGAACTTTGACATCACTGCTTACAAGCTACTATTTTTAAACAAATTTATCTCATCCCTTTAAAACAAAAATTACCTCTCTAATAATATTAATAAAAGCTTTTGAATTATTTTGACTATTTATTAAATTTTGATTTGTTTTATTTATTAATTTTTCTGTTCTTCTTTCCAATTGTTTTTCTTCAATTATTTCAGAAAAAGGCATTTCTTCTATTAAGATATTGCTTTTAACATTTTTTGGATTTAATAAAGTACTAATATTTAAATCATCAGAATTATTTTTATTTTGTCCATTAAATAAATTTAATTTCTTCTTGTTTTTAATAAAATTCTTAAAGAATATTTAATTAAATAATAACTAGATAAATATACATCCTTAAGATATATCCCGTTACGTCTAGTCCTAATTAAAATTGGTCGATGTTGAGAAGACCGAGGATCACCAAGGCTGGAAGAGCCGAGATTGAAAAATCGGCAAGATCCTCGGCCTCAGCGAGCCCTCGACCAATTCTAGTCCTAATTAATAGCCATCCTCTTTAAGATTTCGAGATAAAATATTAGAATTATGGCAATTTTCAATTATCTTTTCCATATCTCTGAATTTTTAGATCAGAAAACGGAAAAAGATTAACCGTTGAATTTACTGCTCAAAATTTTAATATTTAAACAAACCTTTAATGCTCTCGCCAAAATATTATAATCAATTTGAGTTATATTTTTATTAATTTTATCCATATCAGAAGTAATTTTAACTTTTTCATTTTTATTTTGTTTGTCAATATTTGATGGCACAAATATTTGAAACTAGTATTTTAAAATTTAATTAGTAAAGTTAATTTCCTTTTATTAAATGAATAATGGAACAAACTTGTAAAATTATTTTAGTATAAATTATTATTGAAAATATTTTTAATTTTAATGACTACTAGATGAATTAGTAACTTTTCTTGTAACTTGTTAAAAATCACCCACTCTAAAAAAATCACCTACTCCTCTCTCAAAAAAGCAGAAGATTCAAATAGATTTACGATACATAAAAATCCATATAACAAATACTAAACTAACCGGTTGTAAATTATTTTTTGGCATTAATTGAATAATATTCTCTTTATCTCCATCATTTTTATTCATTTCCAATTCAAAATCCTCCAAATATTTCAACCCTTCTCCTTCAAAAGAAACGCGAGAAATTGAGCCTTTTCCCTTTTTAATTGCTTGAATCATTTGAAGATTTTTGTTTTGATTGGGATATTCTTTTAAAATATTATTTTAAAAAATATATTCAGAGAATAATTATTTTATAGTTTTCTTAAAGAAATCTGAAATTTGTGCAAGAGTATTTCGAAGTTCTTATTTAAGAAAATTTATTTTTCTGATTTAAATCGCCTATTCTTGTATAAATGTATATAAAATTAAAAATCTCATTAATAATCACCAAAATCATCATTGTCTATAGCAGTACAATTTATTTGCAAAATTATAATATTATTAATTAATAATAAAAGAAAAAAATTTTCTAATGCGATTTGAGAGTTCATCATTTTGTTTAAGAAAATTATGCCGGGCATTCAACTATTTTATTCTTTTTTTTGGTAATCTTCGGATATATATTTTAGACAATTTTTATAAATCTAATTGAGAGGATATACTCTGTAGATTTGTCGGGTTATAATTACACAAGAAATAATTTTTTTTCTTCATATTAAAGTTGTGTCAAGTCATTGAGCGTTAATAGTATTTCTTTAAAAATCGAAGATGAAAGGATTTTTTGTGAGCGAATGCAAAAAATAAATAAAATTAAAAATAAATTTAAAAAATAACAAAAAAAAACTTTCTCCAAGATATTAAAATTCAAGTTTTTGTTGCTCATCAAGTTAAGCAATCATATACAATCATAAGATCATCATTAGAATTTCATCGATATTTAATTTTATCGATAATTTTACCCTCGAAGGCGTGCCTTACAAGTTGTGCCTTAGGAATTTAATATGTACTTTTTATTAGGATTTTACAAGCGTTCAAACCAGTAAAAGGCCTTGACCAAGTTTCTATAGGCTAACATAAGTAATAAATTTATCTGTACCCCGAGTATATCTTAATTTTATGTAGCTCTGTCGCACTTTTAAGGCGTATCTTCCCAGAGATACTCACGGGATTTTCTCAAAATGATACTAATTTATATGAAACTTTGTCAATCGTAAAAAATTATTTTCTTTTTTATGTTTTCTTCAAAATTGGCTCTTGCGCCTTCATATTTCTGCTCGTCACAAATTTTATTCTTTTGATAATTTGAAGAAAAACAATGAATAAATAAATATTTATTTACTCAAAACAATCCTCTACAAATCCTCCTCTATATTGTTAAACAACAACAACAATACAAAAATCTTTTTAACCGCGTTTCCGCTATTTTTGTTTTTTTCTACTTGAAATTTTCATTTTTTTAAATTTTCTTTTAAGCTAAAAATTGTTTTTACTAAATAATTAAAACAATGAAATGAATTGTCTTTCTCCCTCTTTTTTTTAAAAAGATGGATCAGTAAATTGTTGAGGAAGAAATAAAAAAAAGAAAGTGATTTGAGTTAGAAAGCAAATAATGAAGCATTGTTATTTAGATTATAAAACAAAAGGGAAGCAAGAGGAAATATAAATTAATGGCCAAGACTAGTCTGAGAGGGAGAGAGCTTTTCTTATTCGGGTGGCTTTTCTGCAAAATAAAAAAAATATTTATTTTATTTATTTGTTGTAATATAGCAAATAAAGATAAATTGAGGAATAATTGAATATATAAAAACGACAGAAGTTTATATTATTTTTTATTTGTTAATGAATTAAGGAAGATAAATTAATTAAATTAAATTCTTCTTTAAAACCCGTTAATTTTGATTTTAAATGTCTAGTGTTCGGCTATAAGATTCGAAAATTAATTTTGGATGTTTTTAAACTTAGGCCAATTTATTTCCTTGTCTTTCCACAAAGCAAAAATTGTAAAATAAAATAGAAAATCTATTTAAGTTGATGTTTACCTACAACCTGATGAGATAAATAGAATCATTTAAGAATCGCTTTGATCCAACTTCCATAAGTCTAGAAATCCTGAGGTTGAATGGAGTGCAGTAATCCACTAAAGAGCCCATTAATTTACCAGATTTAGTCATCTTTTTCCTTTAATTAATTTATAAACTTTTTAATAATTTTTGTTTTTGTAAAAATATATTTATAGTTAACTTTTACGTGTAATTAACTTAATAGAAACAAATTTGTCAAATACATAATAGCAGAGAATTTTAATTTAAATTAAAAATATTTCTGAATTAATTATATTTTATCTCAAACACAAATTTGATAAGTAAATATTAAAATTTTTATTTTAGCACTTTATTAAAAAATATTTAAAATGTGCGGAATTTGGGCAGTCCTTGTAAGTTTATAAATTTTTATTTTTAATTACTTAGAGTTTTACCTTAATTAATTTTAAATTATTATAAGTTGTAAATATGAGAGTGATTTTTAAATACCCTCTTATCCCCCCCCCCCCCCCCCCCCCACTTACCCCAAAAATAATTAAAAATTTTAATAACAAAAAGGGAGAGGAATACCAACCAACAAAACACCAAACAGAATTTCTCCGAATAGCTGGAAGAGGCCCAGACTTGGCAGTAATTCAAAGAGTTGCTCCAAATGTTTGGTTAGGATTTCATTGGCTTTCAATAATTCAATCAAATAATTCAAAAATAAATACAAGTACACAACCAATTTGTGCTCAAGATTTGTCTGTTGTATGTAATGGAGAAATATATAATCATTTAATTTTGAAAAGACAATCTGCTCTTGATAATTCACTTGTTAGGTAAATTTTAAAAATGCCCTACAAACTTTTCAGTCACGAATTCCCGTATAGAAATTCACTTTTTAATAACTATGGGAAGTACCAAAACGGCTAAGTTAATGTGCTAATAAATCATTTTTACAAAATTCCCTCAATCAGCTGTTAATTATCTAATTGTGACTTACATATAAAAGATATCCACACACAATTTTATACAGGGTGACCATTATGTTATTGCACACTCTTCATTCCATCATAACTTTCTTCATAATTACTGGTCACCCTGTAAGATATTCCAACTTTATTTAAGAAGAAAATATTAGAGACATGGGGATCAGAAGACCTCAGGTATTTAACCCGACATCCTGCCCAACTTTATTAATAAAACACAAGTGTCCAAATGTATTCAATATTACTAAAAAATTATTTTAAATAAGGAATGGTGGCAGTGACTGTTCTGCTATAATTCATTCCTTCCTAGAAAATGGGCGTGATTTACGTCATTGCTGTTCATCATTAGATGGCGTTTTTGCATTTATTATGTCTGATAACAATTTTGTTTATGTTGGAAGAGATCCTCTTGGAATTAGGCCTCTTTTTTATGGAATTAATGGAAAAAGTAAATTTTTTTATATTGGATTTGTTAGAAACAATTCAAAATCAAGGCTTAACTAAATATTAAAAATTATTAGTTATCCCATTGAAATAAAAATTTCAAAAATTTCTAATAACAATAAAAAGGTTTATTCTTCGGCTCCGAGCTTAAAAGCATTGAAAAATTATGTGATCAAATATCCTTCTTTCCGCCTGGATGTTGTGCTAAAATTCCTTTAAAAAATATCCAAAATAATCTGACAGACTGGAAATTAGAAATTAATTCTTATTGGAAAATTGGAAATCCCGCAATTGAAATAAATATTGGAATTGTGGATGCTCAAGTAAATTTTTAATTCTTAGTTAAAAATTATTGGAAAAGAGAATTAAAAGCAGAAAAAAGACGAGGGAACGAAAATTAATAATATAAGTAATCTCGAAATTAGCACTCAAATTTATTTAAAATTTCACAGACAGCAATAAGACAATTATTGGTTGAAGCAGTTCACAAACGTTTAATGGGTGAAAGACAATTTGGATTTATGTTGTCAGGTGGATTAGATTCTTCCTTAATTGCTGGTAAAAACAAATAAATTTCTTCTTTAAATTTAAATTTCTCAGCATTAGCAACCCAACAATTAATAGCTAGTGGACGTTCTTTACCTATTGCCTTTTCTGTTGGATTTTCTGATTCCGCAGATTTGGAGAATGCTAGAATTGTGGCTAATTATTTAAGAATTCCCCATAGAGTTTTAGTAATTAAGTTGGTTTTTTTAATTTAAATTAATTTAAAAAGTAGGGAATTTAATTTTAAAATAAGACTAATTTATAGCTTCCTTATAGCGCTTCCTTAATTAAAGGGATTTTAATTTTGAATATTTAAATGATAATTTATTTCACAATTTTATTAAAAATTTTAAACATTTCAAGTCAGATAATTATTTACATAATCTGAAATTTTGTCTAAATAAATCAAAATATATTTAAAGAAAATCCCATTCAAAATTAATTATTTTGTTAGGCAATTGTTTTTTAATTAACTACATAAAGCTCTGTAACTTGTTAGGGAACGAATAAATTAACAAAAAAAAACTTTATAGAATCGAAAATATTTTTTATTTACTTTTTTATAGCCCTCAACAATGCATCGAAATTATTCCCGGTATTTTAAAAATTATTTAAAAAATTAATTATTACATTTTAGAGGTTATCTACGCCCTAGAAACTTTTGATCCTTTAGTTGTTCGTTGTGGAATTCCCCATTTTATTTTGTGTAAATATATTTCGAATAATTCTAATGTTAAAGTACTTCTTTCTGGTAATTTTTTAAGGAAATTTTCTTGAAAGAAAAATTCTTTTAGGAGAAGGAGCAGATGAATTATTTGGTTCTTATAGTTATATGCAAAGAGCCCCAACAGCTTTATTACTTCATCAAGAGGTTCTTCGTCGTTTGAAATTGTTACACCAATATGATGTTCTTCGTTGTGACCGGTGAATATTTTTTTATTAAAAAGGAATATTCCTGATAAAAATTTAATTTTACGCCTCATAATACTAGAAAAAATATTTGAGAGAGGGTAATTATTCAGCATATACGGTAAATAAAAAATGTCCATGTCCCACAAAAAATCCACACTTTACGAAAAAATTTTGAGAAGCAAAAAAGTAACCACCATTCAAAAATACCCAGTTTCTATATCTCTAGAGGATATGGAGTACATAAAACCTTAATTCTACTTATAATTCAATCTCCTCTAATTTTACTTAAAGATGTACATCTCCACATGGATTGGAAATTCGAGTTCCTTTTTTGGACAAAAAATTTGTTTCTTTCATTTCTCGACTTCAACCAAGCTTTAAATTAATTTTTGGAAAAATAGAAAAATATATTTTGAGGAAAGCTTTCAAAGATTTATTGCCCCCAAAAGTTTTGTGGAGAAGTAAAGAAGGATTTAGTGAAGCACTTGGAAAAATGGATATTGGGGAACTGTTGGAGAAGACTGCGGAATTGTTAATTTCTGATGTTAAATTTGATGAAAGGAAAAAACTTTTTCCTTTCCAAACACCGGAAACTAAAGAAGAATTTTGGTATAGAAGTTTATTTGAACAAAAATTTGAAATTAATAAATTGGAGAGGAATTTAATACACACAAAGGTTTACAGGTAAATATGACCAGGAATTATCTAGTGGACAGGATTCCCAAAAATTGTCCACGTTTTTTGGGTCTGTAATCCCTAGTCCCGGGAATTTATTCCCGGGAACTGAGAGAATTTGATTATTTGTTTCAAAAACTCAAAAATTATTTTAAAAAGTAATTTTTAGAAGCGCAGCTTGGCAAACCAATAAAAATAATAATTTTGAAGAAAGCAATTCTCTATCCGAAAGTAGTGGAGATGAGGGGAAAGAAAATAAAAATTTAATTGGAAATTTAAAAAATAATAAATTAAATATTCCAAACGAAGGAAAAGGACATATTAGAAGAAGATCAACAGGAAGTATAAAATTATAGGGAATTTTTGAAAAGAAAAATTTTTTTGAAAATAATTTGTAATCTACAAATACTTTCACAGAATAAATTTATACATATCAAAGAATTTATTTGTTTTACTTAGCTTAAATTTAATAATTACCCTGGGTAATTATTGTTTTGATTTTTCACTGGAGGGGATAATTAACAGAGAAAGGGTAATTAGGTATTTGAGGAGAGGGAAATTATTAGAAAAGCACTTGACTAATGACTAAAAAATATTTTAATATTCAATTTATTTCAATTTTTAATTCCTTAATAAGAATTCGACAAAAATTGGAATAATACCAAAAAATTTCGGAATGTGTTGAATGTCATGAATAAATTTTTTTGAAATTTTATCGGAATAACAATTATATTAGCGAATAGAATAAATGTTTACTCAAAAAATGTGTCACACATTAATTAAGACTAAACGGTCTAATAGTATATCTAGCATAGAAAATTTTTATTAATAAAGAAATTTTATAAAATGTATTTAATGGATATAATTTTCCCTTCGTTCATATGATGCTTGTCGGTGCTACAACATTGCTGTTTACATACAAATTATTGTTAGTAACATTATTTCTATTAATTCTTATAATTTTTAAAACAATCTGTCTATAATTTCGAACACTCAAAATTGTTACCTTAAATGATTTTAATTAAAAGTTTATTTGACTTTCGGATATAAGAGTTAAAGACCCGTTTAATTAAATAATTATCTTTACTTTTAATCAGTATTTGCGTACTAAAATTCGTGAGTACATTAATTGTAGGGTTGGTCCCCGTCCCCGTAAGTCGGTGAATTTGAGACAATGAAAATGTTTGTACTAAAATTAACTCACAATAGGATTTAAAACAGCAATCAAGGATCCCAAAAAACCATTAATAAATATTATATTATATGATAATAATTTAGGCAAATTAGGTAAAAAACTTAAATTGTTGAATAAATTGGCGAAATAAGATAATAAAGGGAGAAGTGCCTATAAATAAAAAAATTAATTAAAATATGCAGAGAAGTCCAGTTGTCTTGGTCTTTGTCTTGAAAACAAGACCTAGACCTCTACCATACCTGTGCCCCCAAAACAAAACTTAATTGTTTATTCATATTACGTAATTGAGTCATTTCTACACCTTTACAATGACGATAAACACGTATTTGAATACTTATACCACAAAAAATAATTATTATATAATTAATTATAGTTAATGCGGAAGCATAATTTGAAGTAAAATCTGATAGTTCGTTAGTCTAAAATTTTATTTTAAACAAAAAATTTTTTTCAAAATTAATTTACTCTAGCTCTGAGTCCAACAACATAATTTTTAATTGTATAATTATCCAATTCCAATATTTTTGCCACCTCTAAATTTGTTAAATATTCGTTTTCTGGAGTTGGCTGGTTTGATAAATAAGCACAAAAATGTAAAATTACTAAAGGAATTATCATACTAACAAAAATTAATATTAATTGATGTTTAAATTTAACATCAATTTCACTACATAAAAACGTTATATTTAAAAATTTCCCAAAAATTTTTACCGTACAACAGTCAAATAACGATAAATAAATAATGTAGATACATTCATTGCTGTAAATCTTCTCATAAAATTATTAAAAGAGAGCAGCAAAAATTGCCAGGGATTTGGCAAAAGATGTATAGGTCCGTAATTCCACATTGTCCCAACACCGTTATCAGAAATATAAACCTAATTTCCAATAAAAGTTTTAGTTAAACACGCCGAAACTTCCCCATGCCCAAACATTTGTTTTTTTACCGGTTGAGAAGCAACAAACATACAAATCCCCACAATATCAACAAAACAAGTTTGTAAAAGTATTTTGCTATAAACTTGCATTTCTTTCATTGTGTAACGCAAAATTAGCCAAATTAAAAAGAAATTAGAAAACAATCCAAATGAAGCAAAACAATAAATAATTGTTGAATATATTTCTCCCTTTAACATTTTTTTTCTTTAACAGGAAGTTCTAAAATTATTGATAAGCTTGGGAAAAACATGCAAATGCATGTTTTGTATGCGGATATGCCTTGGTGAGAGAAGATGGTGTTCTTACATTGGTCCGAGTACTTTAGAACCCGGTTTTTAATGCATATTTTTGCATATTTCGGCCCTCTCGTGCATATTTACATATCGGTGCGTATTTTGACAAATTTTGTATATTTTGGAGGGTTTTCGGTGCATATATGCGCATATCTGGTGATCTTGCGTGCATATTTTTCCCAGCCCTAGTTATTAATGTTTTATGAATTCGTTTATGAAAATCATTAATATTTAAATAATAACATTTTTAAATTTATTTTTATGTTTCGTATATCAAATAAAACTTTAATTATAAGAAAATTAAACAAAAAAAATTTTTTTGCGTGTTAATTAACTTTTAAAAACAGTTAAAATTTAAATAATTATTGAGAATAATTGTTGTCTCATTTTTTATTTTTAATTAAGCCAACAATAGTTTTAATGAAAAATATTTTTGTACTTTAACACGAAATGTTGTTTATTAAAATAATTAAAAATGAATGGCTAAATAACTTTTCGAATATTAAAATTGTAAAATTTAATCAATTAAATTTTATGAATAGAAATATAGCCGATATTATGAGTAGAGCCAGGATTTTTAGGTAAATGCCTGTTTTTTTCCTAGATAGGCCTGATGCTGAAACGTTCAAATCCGGTGTTATTTTACTGAAATCTTCTTTCTATCTAATTTTATCGTTGCCTAAATTTGCCTATTTTAACTTTTTCTGGCAAAATGCCCTATTTTGCCTTTTTTCAGCCTAATTTGCATATTTTACTAAAATTTGCGAATTTTTGGGCATTTTTTGAGAAAATTGTCGAATAAAAATTTTTTTTGTGGTAAAATATAAAATTTTTCCAAAAAATTTTTGTCAAAAAATTTTTTTTGGAAAAAATTTTCTTCTGAAAAATTCATCAAATTATTTTTGGAAACAAAATAATTAATATAAATTAATTTATATGTAATTCTGATCGTCAGAATTAATTTATTTAACATTTTATTGATTAAATTTATCTTTTTTGATAAAATTAGTTAATTTAAATCAGCAAAATCTCGAAAAAATCGTGCCTATTTTGCCTTTTTTTCGGATTTTAGTGCCTATTTTGTCAGTTTGTTAGTGCGTATATAGGTGCCTATTTTTAACTTTATCGTGCCTAAAAATCCTGGCTCTAATTATGAGTTAAAAAATTTAAAAAATAAAAATTTTATATTACACAGGTCAAGGGCTAACAGAGCCTAAAAACTTTTAAACTCAAACAGGCCCAAGCCTTCACAAAAATTGGGTGTGTGTCCATGTCTAAGCACGATATGTAATAATACATTAATTAAGTTCAATTTCAATAATTACACCCTACTAGGATAATGGATATTTTTTATTATTTTTAATCTACTGCCACATTTGATTAATAACTCACACCACCGCTGTGGAACTTTTGTTCCGATTCCCATAACTAGGACTTATTGGGTTAATTTGTGATAATTGTTTGCCGAACACCATAATAAATTAATAACTGCATTGCATTAAACTGAATACGCAGAGCGTGGAATCATTCTGAGCATCGGCAAGTTCAAAAGAGGTTGAGTATGAACATCGAAGGTATCGAGAATTGTAAGTCTAAAATTGAAATTCTGTTCGTTCTCTGCTTCCTACCTTCAAGGATTGACAAAAGAAATAAAATTTTTGAGAATTCTTGAAAATTTTAAATTTATTTATTTTTATAACACTCAAATCATTTTTTCTTAAATTTACTATTTATTTTTATTTATTTACATTTCTTGCCTAAATATTAAATTGACCCTATTCCCTAAGATTATGTAATGTTTTCTTGTCTTAGTTAAATATACAAATTTTTCCTCGACTTTGTTTTCCTCTTGGTTGCATCCTGTTATTGCAACAACTAATATGTTGTTCTCTCGATTGGAAAATATTTAGTATAGTTTAGTGTTGATTTATATCAGGATGTTTTTTGGTATTTATGATTTAGAAATCGTCGAGAAAATTGGGGGGGGGGGGGTTAAGTCGAGTGTTGACAAGTTCAGCAACTTTGGTATACCGTTAGCAATTATTACAACATTCTTGCCGGGTCCAATTCGACAAATGTTATATCATTCAACTCACTTCTGTCTCTTTTAGGAATGATCAGACCAGGTTCTGTCAAGTTTGATAAAGATTTCGCCTTTTATAAGAGTTCGAATGAAAATTAAGGATAAAGAATAAAAATTTATAGCCAATCAAGTCGATGACACTCAACAGATTACTCCCTATTTAAGATAAAAATATTGTAAGATTGAATTTTTCAACACTAAGGATCTGTTTTTATTTTAAAAAATTGAAAAATTTAAATGTTTTTTTATAAAATAAATACTATTTTGATTTTTGAGTAACTTTTTCTCGCAAAAAAAGAGAATTAGTAAATAGTCTATTTATTTCGTAATCACTACTCAGTTCCGTTTTTTCCTTTCTCGATTCAGAGGAAATGCTAATCCTGAAAAATATTTAAATATTCATTTGCATCTCTGTTTTTAGGAGAATAATTTTTGTTATTTACTTATTTTTTCCTTCCGGCACAAAAAACAAATACCGTATTTATTCTATTATCTATTAGAATGGGACTCTCTAATAGTAGAACGGAAGTTAAAAATAAACAACGAAAAATATGTAAAAAATTAATTTTTAAAATTTCACCATTGTCAAGTTTACTACCCTTTTTATTTTTAACACGTAAATTTAGGGCCCGCTGATTTTATACTACTATCCAAAACCGAGTTAGTATTGGTAATCGTGTTAAAAAATTGGGTAATCCTGATAATTTTCAATTAAGATACCGAGTTTGGATTTCTCTTTATTCTCGAATTACGTTAGCAAATTTTCATCTGGATCCTATATCGCTCATTCCTATTTTGTAGACAGGAAGTAAATTGTCCGAATAACGGATAAGTAATTCATGGTTAGACAGATAAAATTTTCTTGAGTCTTCGTCTGAAATATATATTTTGCTTCGATTATATACTAGGGGCATTTTAAAAGTAGTCCAACTTGACCCAACTTTTTACTCTCCCATAGACTGACCCAACCGGAGACCCGAAATTCGGACTTTTTTCTACTTGAACCCCGATCCGAAGAAGATTCTGGAAACCCAACCCGAAACCAGACCCGGCTTTCTTGGCTCATCCCTGAGTAGGACTGTCGTTTGCATCAACCGAAAATCTCTGGCTTCTCGGCTCCATTGTTTTAAAGCGTCAATTATAGTGCTGCTCTATTTATTTTTAAATTGAATAAAACTATTATTTTTTTAATTTAATATTTATTTATAATCTTATAAAAATCAACAAATTTTCGATTTTAACTTGTTGATTTTACCCTTCTTTTTTCATAAAATATTCACTATAAAGTGTGAAAAATGCCGCCTTTCCTTTTCTCTTCCTTTTTTGTTTACCTTCCCATTCTTTAAAACCCCTTAAGCATTTTTTTCATTTTTTTCATTCCGCGCAGATTTTAAAAAGTATATTTACCGTTTCTTTTTTATTTGTTTAATAGAGCGTAATGGACTTAAAAATGAAGTGGGCGTGGAATAAAAGTAAGTAAAAGGCTCTTGACTAAAAAAGGAAAGAAGAAAGGGGTTGCCGCTTTACAAAAGTGCTATTATGCAACATGGATTTGCAACAGGTGTGTGTGTAGATATGTGTGGGGGTATGAAGGTGTAGGGTAGTAAGGGTGATCAATGAAGGGGCGAATGAGCTTTGAAAAATGATTGTATTTTAGTCGGTCTTGATTTTTTGTAAATTGTTTGCCCAGATTTATTTTGGATATCCAGATCTTGATGATGGGGTAGGTTGAAAATTATGTAGATTCTTTTGCCATTCTTCATCATATCGATAGGAAAGATCACAGGAATTTTAAAGCTTTTTTCTTTAAATTTCGTTTTTTCCGTAAGTAAATGTCCGTTTCTTCTCTTTTTACTTTTAAATTATTTTTATATTTCAACAAAATAAAATTTAAAATATTTTTTCAAAAAGCCGCCAAAGGACAAGATATGTAACAGACCGCTACTTGCCTATAGCAATGTACCTCTTTAAAATATTCTCCTTCACACCTGTCTATATTTAAATAAAACAATTTGTATTTTCTTTTTTTTTATGCCTGTCCATCAATCATTTTGATACTTTTTGATTGTTTTGGGTGAAAATGTCCAGCTCGCTTTCTACCTTACGCAAATGAAGTCTCCAAAGGCCTTCTGCATAAGGCATTTTTCTTCATTCTGCTTTTTCCTTTCCCTTAATTTCCTTCAAATTATCAAATGATTAGTTGAATCCCTCATGATCCAATCCAACTAAGTGATCAACTGATTTTTTAAAACTATATTTGAGAACTTTATCATAAATATAGGCAAGTATCAGATATCCTTTTTCATATTTCACTTCCAATAACATACGTAGCTTTATTTTTTATTAAGAATACCAAGAGCCAACCTTGAAACTGTAAAATTTTGACAAGTAATTTTGTTATTGTAAAATTAAATAAAAATAATAATAGAAATTATTTATAAAAAAAAATTTTTTTAATTTAAATCTCTACTATTTTTTATTCAAACTAATTAATTAGAAAATAATTTGATAGGCATATAAAACAAATTATTTTTGGTTTTTAATAAATTTTGAGTTTTTTTCTAGTTTTTAGAAAGCCGTGAATTAAAGGATTTAATGATCTTCTATTCCTTCTTTTTTATTCAAAAATACCATAATCTTTTCTCTTTTTCTTCCCTTTCTATTCGCATCTGCCCTCAATTATTAAAAAAAAACTAAAATTATTTTTTGAAAAGCAAAGAAAAAATGAAATTTGAACGGTTTTTAATTATTTACAGTAATTTTTGATAAATTAATTGAAAAGATTTTAATTAATTTTTATTGTGTATTACAGTTAAAATTGAGAGAAATGTCTTTTTAGTTATTTTATTTGATTGTAATTAACGTATATTCTTAAATATTCTTAAACACAAATTTAATTTAAAAAACGAAAAAACTTTTTATATTGATAGCTTTTATTCTTCACTTTTCGGTTTTGAGTTTTAGACAAATACCGGTTTTATTTTGGGGGAATTTTTAATAAAATCACTCATTTCAGAAATTTTCGGTTTTTTAAATTTTGCAAAAAATGTTAATTTTTGGCAAAAAAAATCAAAATTTTCGCTTTTAAAACCGGTTGTGAACAACCCCAATTTATTTGTTAAAAATTATCATCTGAATATTAAAAACAAAAACTGTTATAATTCAAAAATTTACTTGAATGGACTGAAGGGTGTCTTTTTAACTGTGACAAGGATTTGTAAAAATGAATTGAAGATTTAAATAATTATTTATTTTTAATTTAAAAAACAATACCTACAGTCGTCGACATAAAGATAGGGACAAGAGTAATTTAAATGAAGATTAACTATTTTTCGGTCAAAAAATACGTTCTATATACCAATCGAAAGCTCTATTTATATCTCAGTTGACATGTTTCTGCATTTTTCATGAAAATGAAAATTGGCCGAGATAATCCGGATCTGCCGGATATACCAAATCCCACAGCCTCGGAAAAAATTTTCGGAAAAAATCTAACAAACCCATTTGATAAAGCATATTTTTGTGAGTATATGCCACAAAACCGCTTAAAAATATCTTTTTCCGGTCCAGAGATATGATTTTTTGAAAATGGCATTTTTCGTCTATTTTCGCAAAAAATTCAATTTTTAAGGGAAAAATGCCATTTTCAAAAAATCATATCTCTGGACCGGAAAAAGATATTTCTAAGCGGTTTTGTGGCATATACTCACAAAAATATGCTTTATCAAATGGGTTTGTTAGATTTTTTCCGAAAATTTTTTCCGAGGCTGTGGGATTTGGTATATCCGGCAGATCCGGATTATCTCGGCCAATTTTCATTTTCATGAAAAATGCAGAAACATGTCAACTGAGATATAAATAGAGCTTTCGATTGGTATATAGAACGTATTTTTTGACCGAAAAATAGTTAATCTTCATTTAAATTACTCTTGTCCCTATCTTTATGTCGACTACTGTATATAATATCAATCCCTTTCAATAATCCCTCTAAATTTATCCAGACTTGGGAATTTCCCCCAAAGGCAAATAAAAAAGGAAATAACAATTAAAAATATAAAATGGTGTCAATTCCTTCACTGCATGAAAATAAATAAATATTTAAATAATTATTTAATGAAAAAAAAGTTTTGTTTAAAGTTTGTTGTGTAAAAGAAAATTAAAATATTTCCAAAAAAAATAAAATTTTTCCTTAAAAGGAAATAATCAAAAATTGTGTATTTTTATGCCAGTTCGAAGATATTTTAGTAAAAGTTAATTTACAACTTCAGATTATGTAGATAGCAGCAAAAACAAATGATTGTTTAGTTGGAATGATGGAAGGGGCCGAACAGTTTGGGATGAAAAAAACCATCTAGAATGAACAGAAAAATTTAAAATAAATTTTTCTTAAAAGCAAAATATATGCAGAGATTAACAAAAATCCCAAAAAAATCTTTGACTTTTTTGTTTGAAGATAATTTTTTGCTTTAGATAATTTTTATCAATAATTTTTTTAAAAAATTTAAGGCAAAATAAACAGCCAATAAAAGTAAAAATATTTGTTTATTTAAAAAGGAATGGAAGAAAAGATTTTAAGGAAGGAACAACAGTCTCTTATTTTTAACTTAATCCCGCCCATTCAATTTTTTCTTTTATTTTCATTTTTTTCTTAATAATTTTTTTCTTATTAATTTATTAGTAAATCCTCCCTTTAAAGTATTCCCTAAAGGCTTAAAAAATCGTGTCTTATAATTAAATGTATTTTAAATTGAGCTATGACTTACCCAACTTAAAAATGTCTATACAACTTTAAAAAATTTTTCGTTTAATTTTATCTAAATTTTGTCTTATTTTATTTAAATATATTTTGTTTAATTTCCAGTTTTTTCCCTCATTTTTAAAAAAATATTTTCTTTCTTTCCTCTTTTTCTGCCTCAATTTTTATTTATTTTCTCAATTTTATTTTTTTTCCAATTTTCTACGATTTTCATTCACAAAATGCGCCAATCCGCTTATAAAAGAGTAGTTAGGTAGATTATTTTATTTTAATAGAAATAAATATATTTTTGTTTTGAATTAATCCGCGCATCGTTTTTGTTTGTAGTAAATGTTTAGTTGATCGCTCATAAACTTTTTTGTTAGTTAAAAAGAAGAGAAGAGGGAAAATATTTAAAAATTAGTAATATTTTTTTATAATCTTTTCTGATTTTTAAAAAATAAATTTTAATTTTGTTTAATTAAAGTATTTATTTAATAATTTATTCATTAACTAGTCTCCGCCTCTATTTTCTGAGATTTCCCATTAACTTTTGCTACAAAATCTTGATGAGTTTTATACAGAAATAGTACATTAAGCGTTAATAAAAGGAGGTGAGCTATAAATATTTTTTAATTTTATATTCTTTATTGGAATATATTAAGGAAAGGAAAATTATTTTGAAACATTTTCTAGCTCTTAAAAAATAATTTTTAAATTTCCTATTAAAGAATAGGGAGTTATTATTAAAACAATGGATACGGATATGGATACAGATAAGTTCAAATTGCCTGCGGATATTCGTCTGTATCCGTCGTAGATATCTGGATCGGATACCAAAATCCATGTCCATTACCAAGTCTGTATTAGAATGTTTAAAGAATCGTGATCAAAGAAGCTCTACCCTTAAGCTCTACCCTTTTATTTTTAAAATATCCATTTGATTATCATTTCTTTTTCAATAAATCCTTAAATAATTTAGAGAAATGGTTGACACAGAAAATCATTCCAACAAAAATAACAATTTCAATTCACCCCCAAATAACAACCCCAACTCCAATTCCTTATTATATTCTTCCCCAATTCCATCAACTTCTTCATTTCCTCCATTTTATTCTTCTTCCATACCTTCCTCATCCTCTACTAATCCTTTTAATAATTATTTCTCTTCTCCTTCTTCAACTTCTCAATATTCTTTTGGAAATCAACAATTTAATAATCAAAATTATTCAAATAATAATTCTATTAATTTTGCTGCTGCGGCTTTTGCCGCAGTTATTAATGGAACAAATTCAATTAATGGAGCGAATAATATTTGTGGAAATTCTGGGTAAAGATTTTTGAAAAAAATTATTTTGATAAATATTTTTGATTATTTTCCTATAGTGTTTAAAGAAAAATTGAACGGATTTTTTCTTCCGATTTTTAGTCTTCCGATTTCCTACACCTTTTTTGTTCACTCCTGGTTTGAAAGAAAATATTCTCACTACCTTCGAATATTTATTTTCTTAGATTCCCATTTATCTCATTTAGGTATATAAGAGACAGCTGACAAGCATTTAAAACTTTTGAGAGGGGTTTAAAATCTAAAAGAAAGGAGTGAAGAGAAGATGGTGAGCGAGATTTCTATCAATTAACTGCAACGTTCGCATGTTTCTGTCCATTGACTAAAATTCATTTTTAATTTTTAATTTTCTTTAAATATATTTATTTAAAGAACTCCCAATACTTCAGCAGGTGGACCTATTTTAGCAAATTTTGAATATAATCGAAAGGGTAGACGTGAAAGAACATCATACAACAAGAATCAATTGGACATACTTGAAGCACAATTTCAGCTAGGAGTAAGTAAATAAGGGATGTGATTAATAAACCAAAAATGAGAACCATAAATTTGTGTTGCCTCTTAAAAGGGAGTATATCAAGCCTGGATAATTTTCAGTTATGCCGTCTCTCAAAATTAATTCTAAGAATCTTAAAGTATAGGATAATAAAAGGTACTGATCACGTTTAACACAAAAAGATTGGATATATTTGATAATGAGAGTTTTCCGACACGCCCATTCTTAGTTGTCCTTGCAATGTCCAAAAATATATTAATTATTTTATCTTGTTCTAATCTAGTAACTAAATAATTTTTGAATTTGGAAACTTTCTGACTATCACAAGCAATAATAATCCACAAATACCAAAAATATAAACTAACAAAAAATAACTTTTTTAAATTATTTTTTAACCAAATTTTCTAGCAATATCCAGATGTAGCAATACGCGAAGATTTAGCTGCCAAAATTAATTTACCGGAAAGTCGTATTCAGGTAAATATATTTAAAAATTTATAATTTCGATGACCATATTCTTAGATATCTCTAATACATATTAGATAACCTCTATTTAAAATAGAGAATATTAATAACAAAATTTCACCAGTTTCTATAGGGTCAAACTATTTACATATATTAACAAGAGTCGCCAACCTTATTAGGAATTTTATACAATAATTAAATTTCTCAATTTTTAATTTTCAAAGGTTTGGTTCAAGAATCGAAGGTTGGTAATAATAATTATTTTTAAATTTAAAATATGTAAATCCACACAAAAAATTAAAGAGCAAAATTTCGTCAACTAAAAAAGAATCATGAAGCAATAATGAAAATGGCTAGCGCAATACCTCCTCAAACAACTTCTTCAACAATAACTTCTCCACATCCCCAACCTCCCCAAATTAATAATTTAATTCCATTTATTTATTCAACAAATCAAAATATAAAAAATGAAAATAAAAATAATAGTAGTGGTAGAATAGAATCTCCTCCTCCAGCAGAACCTACAATTATTAAAAAAGAACCAATAAAAACTGAAACCAAAACGAATTTAGAAGCTGAAACAAATTTAATAAATCAACAAACACCTCATCATTTCACTACTAGATCTCAACAAAGCCTTCCAGATTTTTGTAAAAATTTAAGATTTAAATCTAGTTTTTTGGAAGTCGAAAAAGTTTATTTGTGGTTTAGTTGGTAGTGTGCTAGACTTGCCACCGAGGATGGCCGGGTTCGAATCCTCTTGGTGGAAATAATTTTTTATAACTTGAAAATAGAAATCATGTTTAAGCAAAACGTATTTAGCCACTGAAAAACTGACAATTAAACTAAAATTCATCAGAATAATTTAAACAGGCTTAACATCTGATCCCCAAAATTCCTCTACTATGGCATCCTTTGCCACTCATTTCCCTCGCTCATTTTCAACAACAATGCCTGGAAGTATGAATGGGATGTTTTGGGGAGGAACAAATGGAGCATATACCGATTATGCAAATGCAGGAAATAATCACTTGACAGGAATGGATTGGTTTACAAATTCACAATGGCCAATTTATTACCCGGTACATTGATAATTTCATTAAAACCTCTAAAAACTAATATTTATTTTAGCCTTACGGTAATGCCTATTATCAACAAAATACAGCCTTAGCCGAATCATCAGTGATAGAAGGTTCTGTAAAGAGTTCATTGAAAGAACAAACAGATGACTGTTAATTTAAATAGAATATATATGTAAAGATCAGACAAGGGGCCAATCAAATATTAAAATTAGGCTGTGAACCTTATTTGTTTTATGTTCCCAATAAAAACGATAGGAAGCCCGAAATTTGGCTTTTTTAAAGGACCGGCCACCTCTGATCTACAATAGTCTCACTTTTTATGTAATTTTTTCCTATTTCGAATTTTAACATTAAGAATAAAATTAGAATAATTTGTAACAAATGTTTATCAATACAACAAAACAGGTGTACGAATAATTATCATATTTGGATTCCTTAATTTCATAGGAAATTTGTAATAGGGTGGGAACTTTTATTGTATTCATGGCTATCTGCCTCCTCTAATAGTCCCCACCCTAAAAACATCTTTGGATGACATTATAGTAGTAAAAAGACAAAAATTAAGGTAAAATAAAGTTAATTTAAAATATTTAGAGGAATTGAAACAAAATAATTCTTTTTATTAAAATTAATGTTTTTAATTTTTAATGTTTTTATGGCCAAAAAGACAGAGCTGCTGAGAAAAGCAAAATATATTGCAAAAGCAGAGTTTTCATTTTATTTAATTTAATATTTCCTAACATTCGAAGACCGAAGAAGCATATATGTCTTGAAAAAGGAAATAGTAAGAAAGATAAAACTAGAATATTTTTTCGGCTATGTAATCCTAAATCAATAAAATTTAAAAATTAAGAGGGAACATTATCCAAATATCCTGATCCGAAAACGTCTGAATATCAGAAAATTTCAGTTCGATTTCTGGAACTACCAGAGCCTAATCTAAGTTGGTCACCTGTGAAGGGCAATGATCGAACCCCGCCCTGTAAAATAAATTTTTACGTTTTAAAAAAATTGGGCTTAACAAATCGACATTAATAAGATATAAAAATAACCACGAGTCCTGTCAAAATGAATCCAGCTGCAATTATATATGGTCGATCGTATTTGTATTCTCGAATATCCATTTCCAGACCATCTACCTTCCTAATTAGAATATTAATTCGACGCCTCAATTGTTTGATTTCTTCTAGTGGATTCTTTTCAACGGCAATTGATGTCTATAAATGAAATTATTCTAAAGAAAGGAGAGAAGTCATAATAAATTACCGGATTGTCTGTATCACAACTTAATGCAATATTGACTGGTGTTCGTTGGAAATCACCAGTTGGAAGCTCGTTGGCCTAGATTTAAAAGGAGGGAAATTGTTTTTAGATAAAGACATTGTTCCTAAAAAGTTTTGGAAGTTAAAAATCCATTTAGTGAGGAAAAATTCGAGATAATAATTGGGTTTTTATTCGAGAAAATGGTTAACCTTCTCATTTTTTTAATATTCCTTTACATTGCCTATAATAACCAACACTTTATGTTCCAATATTTTAGGAAGACTAATAGGAAAAGCAAAAAAGGAGAATTTAGCGTGTAATTAAGGTGAAAAAAACTTTAAAGTTAACTTAAGATCCCTTTCGTGACTATTACAAAAATATATTTTCTTAAATACTCACTGTCAAGGTAGGCGGTATCCCATTGACACTAAGATCCTCCTGGAAATGTAATTTATAAAAATAAAATAGATATAAAAACCGAGGCATTTGACATCATAGCTTGACGTTCTCGAATCACTTCTGTCGGTTGTGCTTTGGCAGCTGCAGTCTTATCACCACCTTCAACTGTTATTCGACTGGGAACGACCATTTGAGGACGAATATCCTTCTGACCAGGTTTACGCTCCACACCAGCCACATAAATATGATCGGGAACTTCCATTGGGAGATATTCTTCTGTAGTTGTTGGAGCGTACCTAGAAACCGTAGGAAAACTCTAATATTTTTAGACTCAAGATTTTTAATCAACTAACTCAAACTATCGATACTAATTAGTTAGATAATTTTAACCTTGATGCCTTTGTTCCAGCAGCAATATTCTTACTCATAGTAGTTGTTTAACAAGAAATTAACAAGAAAAGCTTCTAAAAACTCGATTTAAAAAATCTGAACAATAAAAAATTATGTATTTGGTATAATTGTGCAGTAACACAAAAAATTTTTTGACAAGAATAAAATTCAATTTACACAAAAATCAACGAAAACTATTACAAATAATCAAATTATTTCCCTAAATTTTTTTATAAAATTTCTATGCAGAAAGGCATTTAAGCCTTAGCGGGTCTGTATGTGGCTGAACAGCATATTCCTTAGATGCTTTTACACATTGGACCATTGTTGGAGATGCTCTAGTAATTGAATTTGTTAACCAAAAATCAGGCAAAGACTGTTGCTTCGGTTCCAAACTTTTTGGTTGATGCGTTGTCTTTGCTGCTTCTTCTTTCTTAAGGTAAACAAAATATTAAAAGATAGAAGACAAAGAAAGAAACAAACTGAAAGAGTAAAAGCCTGTCGAAAGAAATTTGCGTCTTCAACTTGACCATAGCGAGACAGATGTGGAGCTACCTAGAAAAATTATAAAGAGATTTAAATAGTTAAATTTAAAAAATTTCAGCTTATCAAATTGAAAAATAAATGAAAATATATGAAATAGCTCAGAGGAAATTCAATAACCCAAAGATTATTAAAAATAATTTAAAAAAACCTCTGATAAACGTTGTCGAGTTTCAGTAATTGTGTCGTAAGGCAATTTTTTACCGGCCACTTCACTTAATGCCCTAATAATCTTCCAATCCACACGAGCATCTCCAGGTGGTGTAACAGCAGGATAACTAAAGAAAATTGAGAAATTTGAGAAATAGAAGAATTTTACCCTCGCTGAGGTCGTCCTTCAGTATTTACCCATGTAGCCTCCTTTTCTGTATATGCAGCTCCAGGCAAAATTATATCAGCAATTTCTGCTCCCGAATCACCATGATGACCTAAAATATTTATTTTAACATAATTAAAAATATAGCCGGACTTGTGGCTATATTTTTTTGTTTGTGCGGACAAATTATATGTACTAAAGAGAACAATCCGATTCCAGATACTTCCCTAGTCACTAATAATTTCTCCGATGACAACTGCATTCTAATCAATTTTTCCCACAGACCCCAGCAAAACGGTAATGACAAATTTTCATAGTAAAATATTCTTTCAACGGAAATGAATAAAAGACGGGTTGGGAGAGTGCAGGTCAGTCAAAGTACACAAAAATGATGAATAACCTCAAAGTACAAAATCGCCTAAATACCTTGATAAATAACAAAAACGTCTTCGTGAAAATCTTTTTTAGAAATGTGTTTATCATCTGCACCAAACAAATAAAGCAGTTTTATTGATTTCTTCAGTTTTGAATCAAAAAGATTAAAGGGCTTATAACCGAGATCAAAAGAAGCAACTTGACTAGCATTTCCATGCAAAACATTTAGAATTTTCGGCGGCGAATCTAATAAATTATAAAATTTAGAAACTTTTTAATAAAATTAAATTTAAAAATAAAATTTAAAAAACCAAATTTTTCATAAACAAAAATGCTTATGGCTAAGTGGTATCACTTTCGGTTCATCCCTGTGGAAGGATAGGTTCGAACCCAGTCAGAGTAAGGCAATTTTTTCGTCTCAATTTAACTTATTTTTAAACTTTCTAGGATAAATTAGCCTTCAACTAAAAACAAAGCTTGCAAAATGCGCAAATTTAAGCTTGCACAATTAATTTTTAAGATATGGAAAAAAATATACCAATTTTGCGTTCCGATAATTTATTTTGAATAATTTGAGCCAATTGTTGTAATTTACAATGCAGCATATCAGTACCATTACCTTCAAGTGCTTGCGATCCAACAATAATTAAAGGGTTTTGTGCTGCCAACAATTTCTAGAAACAATTTTAAAATATAGTTTTTTCAGAAGGATTGTTAGCACTAAAAGACTTTTAAATCGTTTTGTGAGGTTAAAAATATTAATTCTCAAAAGCTAAACAAAAAATAATTATATTGCTTAATGTTAATTCCTATCTGATTTTATTGGAAATAAAAAAGAAACTTTAAAAAACGCATTTTTTCCATCAATTAAATCATCCAAAATAGAAGAATTCGACCCCAAATAATGATATTCATAAGTTAAATCAACATTGCTTCCAATCACTCCAATTTCCATATCAGAATAAATAAAACTTTAAAAATAAAAATTTTAAACAGAAAATAAACAAAAAACTAAACGCTTTGCGAATTCTGGCATTTAAAACTGGAGCTTCATAACGAGGATTTGTACCGACAAGAAGAAGCAAATCACAATTTTCTATTGAAGTAATTTTGTCGTTGAAAAGATAATTTGATCTTAAAATGAAAAAATAAGCGAGAGAGTTAAAAGAAAACCTCAAATCAATTCCTCCACACGAATTTGGTAATTCACCTTCACTAAAAATATTTTCACTGTCAAAACGATTTAACAAATCTTTTAGTGCCAACAACCCTTCTGAAAAAACAAAATTGAAAAAAATATTAAAATGCAAATTAATAATAACTTCAGAGGAATTTAATCAAAAAAGTGAAGAGAAAATGTCGATTATTGATACCCCGAAAGAAATATATTAAAATTTCTAATTTACCTGTATCAACTAAAGAACCAGCAAGACAAGCAATGGCGCTAGGTGGAGTTTGACGAAGTTTTTGGGCACTCATAAAAAGTGCTTCTTCCCAATTACAAGGTCTAAAAATTTTTTTTCAATATTCTTAAATATTTTTTACAAATTTACATTAAAACTCCTTGGTCATTTTTAATCATCGGTTGCAGCAATCTTTGCAATTTTAATCCATCACAAATAAACCGACCTTTATCTGACAGCCATTCCTCATTTATTTCCTTAAAAACAAAAAAAAGTTTAAAAATAAATTAAATAATAAACATCATTCATTCGCGGTATTATTCGTAGAACTTCACCGGTACGATGAGAAACAACTACATTAGATCCAAGAGCATCCATAACATCTATACTTTCAGTTTTGCGTGTCTCCCATGGACGGGCAATAAAACTTAAAATGGAAAAATTTTGATTAAGATTTAATTAAGAAACGGAAAAAGTCGAAGGATTTTGATAGAAATAAAAAATATTTTTCGCAAGTAAATTAACCTATATTGTTTGCTAGTCAAAGCGCCAACTGGGCATAAATCAATAACATTTCCAGACAATTCTGAGGCAAATAACTTTTCTACATAAGTCCCAACTTGCATATCAGAACCACGCCCGGTAGAACCAAGGTCAGGAACACCAGCAACTTCATTAGCAAAACGAATGCATCGAGTACAGTGAATACAGCGAGTCATAATTGTTTTAATTAAAGGCCCAATATCTTTGTCTTCCACCGCTCTAAAATTGAGGAAATTAAAAATACAATAATAAAAGTAAAGCGCTCATGAGAGCAATATTGGGAGTAATAGGAAAAGTTAGTCAGCCGCAAGCCAAGCACACTCACCACTACACCAGCAAAATTATCTCATTATTTAATGTTTATATTTAAGAGGGGAAAATTATGGCAAATTTTGGGACTTTGGAGGGCCATATCTTGGCCAGATCAAAAAACGGGCAAAAACGGCAAAAAATCCTTGCTAGAAAGGGCACATTCTCTATCGAATGAGCCCGGTCTCGACCGTTTTTAGCTCGGACACCTCGCAACCTTCCCTAGTAAGTAGATTAAAAATAACTGCAGTGATATTATTCAAAAACCTTTTCTCGTCAAAAGCAACTTGAAGACGACTACGGTCCGATCCAAATGCCATCGACTGATCCTGGAGATCGCACTCACCTCCCTTCAAATAAAATTCTCACAATCAATTTAAATAAAAAAAACCTGGTCGCAAATCGGGCAATCTAGAGGATGATTAACCAATAAAAATTCCATCACAGCTTCACGAGCCTTTTTTGTAGCTGGTGAATTTGTTTTGACTTTCATTCCAGGCATAACCGGCATTGCACAGGATGCAACAGGTTTAATTGATTTTTCAACTTCTACTAAACACATTCGGCAATTCCCGGCAATTGAGAGACGATCATGATAACAGAAACGTGGAATATCTACACCAACCAATGCGCATGCCTTTAAGAGAATAACAGATATTTTGTTAGTACTACGTAAATTATGACCTATAATCACATAAAAGGATAGGGTTAAAAAGGACGAACAGGATGGGGTTCATGAGATTGATTGTGAGAATTATAAACCCGGGATTCTGAAAACTATCTTGGAAAATCCCATGACATCGACCGTTATTCCTCTCCTCGCAATTAGTTAAAACTTATAGACCTGAAGTATTGTCATTCCTGGTTCAACCAAAATCTTTTTGTCGTCAATAAACACCTCCACCTAAAAAAAAGTAATATAGCAAATAAAATATAAACAAAAACCTTTTTGGGGGCAACCGCAACAGAATAATTCCGAAACAACATCTTGGTAAAAAATAGTTTATTTAATAATGCGCCTCGTTCAAACATTTTATAATTCTGCAAAATTAATAAAAGGATTAGAATAAGAAAAAATAAACAACAGGAAATCTAAACAAGAAGAAAAGGCTAGTAAAAATCTCTTTCTAACTGATGTTTTTAATGAAGAGATGCGACCCTTCACAGCATTATCAGCCCGTACATTATCAGCAAGTCGACACAGCGATAAATCTAGCTAACTAATACCCGGCAAAATCATTTTTCCGGCTGTTGCCTGATCTCAGTTGGCCGCTCTCAGTTGATGGCGCTCAACCGACCCTTCGTGTTTTTTACAAAATGTAAGCGACAAATGGAATCTGACTCAAATGGGACACGCCCGATTAGGCGCGGGCCGATTAGGCGCGACCGATTAGGCGCGACCGATTAGGCGCCGGCCGATTAGGCGCGCGGCCAATTAGGCGCCGGCCGATTAGGCGCCAACTTTTTAATTAACACCCCCTTCCATAAGGCCTCCGCGGAAAAAAGTTTTTGCCGCTGCGGAGGAAGCCGGGCATGTCGAGCGGAACGACGGCCGCCGCTTCGCTACGGTCGCCGCGAGCGAAGCGAGCACGACCGCAGCGAAGCACGGCCATCGTGTAGCGAAGACCATGCCCGGCCTACCCTCCGTAGCAGCACAAAAACAGTTTTTCCAGCGAAGATTCAGTTGGTCATAATTTTGTCAAAAATCATCCAATTGAGCTGATTCTGGTCTCATTCGACTCAGCTCTTCGAGCCCGTTCGAATGACATATAAATTGGCCAATTTTGAGTCTGGTACGTAAACTGTAGTTAGGACGGTTTTTTAATTTTGGAAAATTTTTTGTAAATTTTTTGTTTTATAATTCAGAATGGTTCCATTTGATGGTCGATGGGACCATTCTAATTGACTATAATCAGAATATTTAATTAAAAGCTTGGCGCCTAATCGGCCGGCGCCTAATTGGCCGCGCGCCTAATCGGTCGCGCCTAATCGGTCGCGCCTAATCGGCCCGCGCCTAATCGGGCTGTACCCGACTCAAATGTAATTAAGAAAAATGGTCAGAAGTGAAACAAGTTATTAAATGTCCAGGGGAAGAAAATGGACAACCCTCTCATCCTTTATTTGTCCCGATCTATTTTTTGAAACAAATTTTGATTTAATTGTATTTGTTAAGATTTCTTATTAAAATGGTTATGTTAACAGTGTTAAAGAAAAGTCGGCGGAAGGAACAAGAAATGAGAGTATTAATTCTTGGTCTAGACAATTCCGGGAAGACAACATTTTTGAATAAATTGTGTGGTGAAGATACTAAGGAAATTGCACCAACATTTGGTAAATTTAAAGAATTTATCCAAATTTTTTTATTTTAGGGTTTAATATAAAAACTGTTGAGCACAATGGATGGAAATTAAATTGTTGGGATGTTGGGGGACAAAAATGTTTGCGGCCTTATTGGAGGAATTACTTTGAGAGAACAGATGCTGTTATTTGGGTAGTTGATTCTTCTGATACTTCTCGTATTGACAATGACTGTAGAAGGGAACTTAATTTGTTGCTAGATGAAAGCTGTCTTCATGGTGTTACTCTTTTAATTTTGGCAAATAAATGCGATCTAAATGGATCTCTTGATACCGAAGCTATTCAGAAGGTTATAATGATTATTTGGAATATTTTTTAAAAACTTTGAAAAAATAAGACGTTTCCCTTTGAAAAATTTTTTGGTATTGCTGGAGTTTTGTTAATGAGCCGAGGTGCAAGGTTCGATCCCTGCCAGTTTATTGCAAAATATTCGGAGACCTTACCATTGAGGATTGAACTTTACATAAAGCCAGAATATCTATTGTTCTAGTCTAACATTTCGGTTGTAGATCAAATACTCTGACCAGAAAATTATTTCTATAAAAATAAATTTACAAAATTTAGTTACTCAAATTGGAGTCTATAACAAAGCACAGATGGCGAATTTTTAGAACAAGTGCTTACACTGGCGAAAATTTACTTGAGGCATTGGAGTGGCTTTGTAATGATATTTCTTCAAAGATTTTAGTTGAATAATTATTTTAATTTATGTTCTTTATTTAAATTTAAGCTGTGTAAATAAATTTGACAAAAATTAAAAAAAAACTAAAAATATTTAAACTGTTCTGAACTGAAATTTTCCTGCTTTTGTAATATATTTCACCCCTTTAAAAGGTTTATAAGCTTCTCCATGCATATCCAACCTATTAACTTTAAGTCCAGACACTGCCAATTGATTGATTTTAAACTGCGCTACTATTGGAGGGGTTTCTAATTGTCCTTTACTTGAAGGGGCTATTGATATCTAGAAATGTAAAAAACTTAAATTTTATACTGGTTGTTCACGATTGGGATTCTAACCAAAAAAATAAAGTTTGAGGGATTGTTCAGATCGGGGTCCTTAACTGAAAACAATGATGTATCCAGAGGGGGACGGATTTACCCAAGAATTTTTTAGTTGAATATTAAAAAAAACCAAACCGTTCCCTTCAATGTCGGTGGTCTTCCCAATTCTATCCTCTTAATAGTCCATTGAAGCAATTTTGTTGTTGGATCAAACGAATATTTTCCATGACTAGCCAATAAATTACAATTTTGTACAGCTTTTGGCATTTGACATTCAATTATAACATCTTCCAAAATTTTTCCCATACTTTGTTTCGGACCAACGGTAATTTCAAAACGGCCAGATGCCCCACTTTTTAGCACAATGTTGTGTCTAATATAGAGGGGAACAGCAACGACACTAAAAAAATAATTAGATAAATTGGAAAACTATCATTTTTGTAAATTTTTCGGCTCACAACTAAATTCTCAGGTCAACTTGCACATTTGCCTATTTTTAGATAACACCTCAAAAATAAAATTCTTTCATAACAATTAAAAAAACGTATTCTTGATTAAAGGTTTGGATTTTGCACAGTTCTAGGTTTATTTATTGGATCACTAAATAATTTCCGCAAACCAAAGTCATTTCTTATATCAAAAATTGGGTATACTGGCTAGAATCTTTACGCTGTGTTTGATGTCAATTAAAATTTTCAAAAAAAAATTTAAATAAAAAACCTTTGCGAACTAATATTATAGGAGATAAGACGAAAATTTCCATCAGGAGGAATAAAAGAAAGTAAACGTTCCGTCTCCCATCGTTTGAATCGAACACAAGGGTGGAACGAAACATCATCCAAAATTCTTGGATTAGCAAAAGTCATTGTAAGGTCAGGCATTCCAGAGAGTCGACAGCAACAATTTATCTACAAAAATATGTAATGTCAAGTAGTTATAGTGAGAAGAGGTGGGGGGGGGGGGGTGTTTAGTTTGTAAGGGTTAGAACTTCTGCATGCGAAAAGTCAAAAAGTTTTGTCTGATTTTCCGATTAAATTGAGAATTTCAAATTTAAATTCAATTAAAATTAGAATATGTACAAGACGGGAAAATTCTTATTACGTATATATAACCTCCATTTAAATCATAAAAATTGTAAATTTTAATAAATTTAAAACCCCGCATTTTATACTTACACTTCCATGTATTTCTGCAGATATTGTCCCTCCCTGTTTGTCTATTATTGCATCAATTTCTTCAATTACATCAAAATAAGCTTCATTGTTTGCATATTTGACATCCGCTCTACGCCAAGGAACATTCTTAAATTAAAATATTTTTTAGAAGTTTGTTATCAAGAATAAATTTACAGATAATTGTCCTGTCGGTAAAACATTCGAAATATTTGTTTCTCCAGTTACATGATTTTTCAAAGAACGTAAAAAATTAGGAGGCTTGATAAGATCTTGTAAGACATTCATTTCTGTACATAAAGGGTATCCATTGTCGAGAATTTCATCTAAAATCTGAAAGAAAGGTTTCTGTTTTTTTAAGATTTAAGAAATTTTTTCTGTGAACAAAACAATATCAATCAGCTAACATACAGTTAAACCCCAAAAAATTTAAAATTACTTCAAAAACAATAACGATGTTATCCTTAATTGTTGTATCAGAACATTCATCAAAATATTCAGTAAAAATAGCAACAATTCTGTTAAGCATTTCAATTATCATTAAAGGGGGTGCTAAAAATAAATAGTAATCATTAAGAAAGGAAAAAACAAACAAACTTTCAACTAAACAAACAGCCAAAAAATACAAATTTTTGTGATAAACAACATGTAAATAATGATGAGGAGAAACAATAACTGGAGGTATATCTTCTTTATTTAAAGCCTGTTTTTGTACATCGAAAAAATAATCACAAACAGAACGATGAATGACTGATTTATAATGTTTTTCCAAAATTACATCGCTTTTAAAATGAAAGAATTTTTATTTAAAAAAGTTCAAGAAGAGAACTTACTGGGAAGTATTCACAATAAATATACTGTTGATCATAATAAAAAGAGAATATAAATTTAATAAATTTAATAAAGTTTATTAAGAAAGTTTAGATCAAATTGATTCTCACTCTAACAAATTAGACAATTTTTTAAAATTTTGTAAATTTTGGCAAAATGTTGTTTTCCGACATTTCATCCATTTTTGGCTTGCTCTCCTCTTTTTGTTTACTATTTCGCTTAAAATTTTATTTTTTTATTTTGTGAGGAGCTTTGATTTCATTAATTTTTTTAGACTTTTCAATCATTTTTTTTTAATTTCAGACCATTTTAAAGAGAAAAATCAATTTTAAAAGTTTAGTTATTATTTTTATTTATGGCTGAAAACAACGCTAAACGAACTTCTGGTGAAGGTGAAAGTCAACTTGAATCAAAAGAGGCTCCATATGGTGCAGAATATGCCAAAAGTGGAAGAGCTACGTGTAAAGGATGTAAAGAACCAATTGAAAAGGTTTTTTTGATTTTGTTTTAAATTTAAAAAAATAAATTTTAGGGGGCATTGAGAATGTCTGTCCGTTTCCAATCAAAATTTTTTGACGGCTTTCAGGATAATTGGTATATTTTAAAATTTATTTTTAAATATAAATTTTGTTAAGGCACCATTTTGAGTGTTTCTGGAAAAAGGCTCGTAAAAACGACATTAATGAAGTGTCAATCCGTGGATTAGATTGGCTTAAATGGGAAGATCAAGAACTTATTCGTCAACGCATTAATGAACTTGCAGGTTTTTTAACAAATTTTCATTTATTATTGAAAACGTCAATGGGCGCTTTAGACATTTCCCCTACTTTTTACAAATTTTTAATTCTTTCATTAAAAATTTAGCCTCCGGCGATTCTGGCTACACACCTAAAACAGCAACAATTAAAGTAGAACATGCAAAATCTGGCACAGGAAAATGTTTTTCATGCAAAGAGAAGATTCCAAAGGATGAACTTCGCATTTCTGGCCGTTCTTCCTTTTATCACGTTGATTGTTTTCATACAGCAAATTCTGATCATAAATTATTTCAAAAAAGTGCAGAAGAGTGAATTTTTTTATAAATTTTTAAAATTTATTTTTTTAATTTTAGAATTGTTGGATATAACCAATTGGATGCTGATGAAAAATCAAAATTGGAAAGACTTTTCCCAAAGCCTCAATCTACCGGGCAAAAAAGAGAATTTGATAATTCTGCTACCACTAGTGGAACTTCTAATGAAACACCAGTGATGAAGAAAGGAAAAACGGAAAATGATGAACTCAAGGCTGCTTTGAAGGTATTTTATTGAAGATTAAAGGGAAACTGGACCTGAAATCTTCGGTTTTTCAAAACCTATAAATCTATGCGCAAACGAACCAGGCCAACCATGATCTTTGGGGGGGGGGGGGGCAAGGGGGAAATTTTTCTCCGCCTAATTTTTGTGACGAATTAGTTATAGGCCCGCAACCCCCTGGTTATGGCCTGAAACAAATATTTTTGTTTCGATTGATTGAAATCGTTTTCAATTTTGAGTTGACAATTCTCTGTCTTGTATTGCTAGTATTACTTAGTGATTTTAATTTTTTTAGAATCAATCAGATGTTTTATGGAAATTAAGAGAAGAATTAAAGAAAAATTTAAATCATGAGGAAATGGAGGAACTTTTAGTTGCAAATAAAAGCTACAAATCAAAGAAAGGAGGTCCTGAAAGGATGTTGGATAAATTGGTGGATATGATTGCCTTTGGACCAGCACAACCATGCCCTCAATGCAACAAAACTTTGACTTATTAGTAATTTTTTTCATTTATGAAGAATAATAATTTTTATTCTTGTTAAGCACCGATATACATGCCTATCGTTGTTCTGGAAGTGTTACCGAATATACTCGCTGTCTTTATACAACAAAGAAGCCTGGACGTACTCAATTCCGCATTCCATCAGATATGAAAAAAGAAAATAAATATTTGAAGAAATTGAAATCTCCTGTAAATTTTTCTTTTCTTAAATTTATTAAAATATTATTTCAAGTTGCTTGATGAGCGTGTTTATCCAGCAGCTGCATTTGAAGAAAAGCCTCTTAGCGGATCTAAAGCATTTGGTTATCTCAATTACGCTAGAAATGAACAGGCAAAATCTAAAGGTTTTTTTATTTTTATATTAAAACGTCCTTATGTTTCGTTTTTTAATTTTTCACTGGGGTTAAATATATTTTTAAAAATTTAATACTTCTTAGTAAATGAAAATAACAATCAAAAAATGGTCGTAAAAGGTGGATATGTTGTTGATCCAAGATGTGATGTGGCAGAGACGACGCATGTCTATGTTGATCCAATTACAAGTTTGTTTCATTGCCTTATTCTGCATTTATCCTTTTTTTTAAGAACATCCGTGGCAAGTTAATTTGTCAGCTGTTGACATAACTACTGGAAAAAATTCGTTTTACAAATTGCAGATAGTTAAAGACGATAAAGGCTCAACGTTTGTTATTTTTATCAAAATATTTTTGACATTATTTTCTTTTACAGATTTTATCTTTTCCGAGCTTGGGGAAGAGTAGGAACAACAATTGGTGGGGTAAAAACTGAAGATTATGGAGAAGATTTAGAAGCTTGTCAGAAGGAATTTAAATTTCAATTCCATGACAAATGTTTTAATACTTGGGAGGATTATGTTGAAGGAAATTTTAAGAAAGCTCCGGCTGGAATGGATATTTTGGAAATGGACGAACAGAAAGTATGTTGCTTTTAATAAATTTCTGGCAATTTATTATTGCAAGAAGGAGATATGTATGATATTAGTTTGTATTAATTTTTCTATTTTAGAATGATGAAAAAAAGACAAGAAAGCTTACAATTAGCGTTGAATCTTCTAAATCAAAACTACCAAGAGAAATAAAGGAGCTAATTTCCTTGGTTTTTGACGTGAAAGCAATGCAAAATGCAATGATGGAATTTGAGGTTTTTTTAAATCTTTTGAATTTTGTTAAAATTAAATTTATTTTTAGATTGATTTGGAAAAAATGCCTTTGGGGCGCCTTTCAAAAAATCACATTCTTAAAGCTTACAAAGTTCTCAAAGATTTGCAATTTGCTTTGGAGAAACCAGAAGGTCCTTCAAAAAATGAAGTTCTCGACTTTACAAATCGTTTCTACACATTAATTCCTCATGCGCTAGGATTTGGCCCTCCTCCATTTATTAACAGTCACGAAATTTTAATTGTTTGGAATCTTTTATATTTTTTTAAATAAATTTTTCAGTCAAAAACTTCAATGTTAGACTCCCTTTTGGACATTGAAATTGCTTATAATATTTTGAAGACAGATCAAAATGAAATGGAAGAGAATGGAACTAAAGATATTTTTGATTTGCATTATTCTAAATTAAATTGTTGTATGGAGGTTTTTTTGTTAAAATTTATTTTTAAAAATATTTTGGAATTATTTAAGGTTCTAGATAAAAAATCGGAGGAATTTGGTTTAATTAATCGTTATTTGGCAAATACCCATGCATCGACTCACACAATTAAATTGGAAATTATTAATGTTTGTTAAAGTTTTTTTTGATTATTAAAAATTAATTTTAATAAATTGAGTAACCAAAAAGATTAATTAAATACTTACAATTAGCATTTTATTTTTCTATTAGATCATACCCAAAAAACTTTTTTGAAAAACTAATAGATTGACTTGTTATAAGTAGTTTGTTAGTGAATTGCGACAATTTTATGGTTTCAGTTCCTATTGGTCTTCAATACCAAATATAATTAATTTAATACTTGTAAAGATTTTATTTTTAGGTACTTAAAATTCAGCGTTTAATGGAAGTAAAAAATTTTAAAAAAGAAATGGGCAATCGTTATTTGCTTTGGCATGGAAGTCGTTTAACAAACTATGCTGGAATTTTGAGTCAAGGGTTGAGGTAAAATATTCAATTATTTGGGGAAACTTGATATTTTGTAAATTTTAAATAAAAATCCCAAAATATAGATAAAATTTATCTTTTCTTTAATTATTTTTAAATTCTTTTTAGAATTGCTCCACCCGAAGCTCCTGTAACAGGATATATGTTTGGTAAAGGAATATATTTTGCTGATATGGTTACAAAATCAGCTAATTATTGTTACGCAATGTCTGGGGAAGGATTACTTTTGCTTTGTGATGTTGCTTTGGGAGAAATACAAGAAGAAGTTGATGCTAAAGATTTGAAAAAACCTAAAAGGGGGAAAAATAGTGTTAAAGGTTTGTTGACATTTTGAGTGGTTATTGTTTGATTTTTAAATTATTTTAACAAAAAATTTAATTTTCAGGTATTGGCGGTACTTTCCCTAATCCAAAAGAAAATGTTCAATTTGACGAAATGACTATTCCCTGTGGTAAACCAATTAATTCAGAAAAGAAAAAATTGTCTCTTCTTTACAACGAGTATATTAAAATTAATTTTTAAATTAAAAAATAACTATTATTTTAGATATATTGTTTATGATGAATCGCAAGTTCAATTACGTTATATTGTTCGTGTTAAATTTGACAGTGGAAATTTGCTTTAAAAATGATTTTTTGGAAGGAATGGATATTTATTAAGTTTTGTCAAATGCTCTAATTTTTATTTACTTTAAAAAATTATCTATTTTTGTATTAGAGATTGTGGATCTTCTGGATTATTGATATAAAATTAGATTAAAAATAATTTTTTGACAATTTTTGATCTCTAATGCATAATTAACGACTTATTTTAATTATATTAATGCTTGGAAGATTTCGATTTATTTATCAAAAAAAATCCCACTAGACTGTCTACTAGGTTTATCTGTTAACTTAAATAAAATTTATCTCCTTTATAAAATGCCTTTTAAATTCTAAGCATTAAGCCTTATATAATATTGACTCAATTTCCTTTTATTATTTTACAAACAATTTTTGTCGTACAAAAATTTGAATAATTTTTTGGTTATTTAATACAAATTAGAGTTCGGCCCCATCGCCGGGAAAAGGGATTCCCCGGGGATTTATGAAGCGACTTCTAAGAACAGGCTCCGGATCTGGAGCCCGGATTTACCCCTCCGTATCGAATAATTTTTACTATAATAGAAATTTTATTAAAATTTCTTTTCCTATATTGGGGCATTGCGGAGGTTCCCCGTACAAGAATTCCCCGCAGCCCCCGTTCCCCCTAAAATTAGTCCCCGCCCCGACAGGTCGCACTATAACACATACCCTATAATTATTTAAATTAAATATTATTCCAGCTTTTTTTTAAATTAAATAAATTATTTTTCTTTTTATTTTTCAAAATTTCATCATAAGAATATTTTTTTAATTTTTAGAGACAGACATTTAAAAATTAAAAGAAAAAATTAAAATTAACTAAAATTTAAATTCTCTTTTATTTTTTTCTATTGATCAAAAACTGAAATTTGTATTTAATTTAAAAAATAATTTTATAGACACACACAAACACTTTTTATTACTTTTTTTAAATTTAAATTTTTATTTTAATTTGCGCAATTTTACGCTCAAATTGAGAAAATAAATTAAAAAATTTAAAATAAAGAACATGTGTTTAGTATATTTTTTCTAAATATTCCCCCCCCCCCTCCTCCCAATTTTCGCGTATTTGAACTATATTTATAAAAGAACTTTTTTAGTATTTACTCCCTCACTTAAATTTCGAAAAAAAAATTTTAAATAAATATTTACCAATTAAAATACACCAAAAATTAAAATTACGTAAAAAATGCTCCGAATAGAAAATTTTCTTTTGTTGTTATCAACTGTTTTGACATATTCTGCTGTATATGATCGATATTCTCCTTATTGGAATAAACCGGAAAGGTTTGGAAATAGGAAAATCTCTGTCTTATCCTGTCCTAAGAAGGGATAACTTGAAGATAACATATCTGAAATACCCCATCCATCAAAATACTGACCGAATATTCTGCTTCTAAGAATGTGCTGTTAGATTTAATATTTATAGTAGAGTTGGGCGGGAGGGGGGGGGGGATCCCGGTTTTTTAATCACTACCGATTTAGCTAGTCCTGATACCGCGGTCGGGATTGGGATCGGGATCATCCAAATCCCGATACAGATTTTGGCCTATCTCTATTCCGCCTAACTCTAATTTTTAGTGTTGCCACCGCCCCAAGGTCTAAGTTATCCGTGAGAAAAATCCCTACTAAGCCTGGGTGCCGTTATATAACAATTAAGGTGTATCTTAAATTAATGATACTTTTAAAGGATAAAAATCAACCGAACAATAAATATCAAAATTGAATTATTGGCTAATTTTGGAGTAAATGAAAGAATGAAACAAGCTGCTAAACAAGCGATTTTACAGAATTTCTCGGGAAAATGGCCGGATACTGGAAATGAATCTAATTTAATTGGAGAAGTACATAAATTTATTAATGTTTAAAAATTGGAAGAATAATTTTGAGTAATTTTAAATAAACTCTCATGCTGGTAGTAACAATGCTAACTATCTGCAGATAAATCGCTAGCTGCAGATAAATCCGTAGTAACAATGCTAAAGATTAAAATCCGTAGTACTATCCGCAGCTAAAGAACAAAAAAATCGGTAGCTTTAGCTGCAGATACCTATCCATAGTAACAATGCTAAGGATAGGGTAGCGGATAGGGTATCGGCTAGGGTAGCTACGGATAAAATCGCTAGCCTCCTATTTAGGTGGATAGTTGCATTATTTTAAATATTTAAAAAATTATAATAAATTTTAAAAAATTATTAAAAATTCAAAATAAAAAGAATTTAGTTAAAAATAAATTAATTTTCATTTTTAAAAATTTTTTCGTCAAAAAAAATAAATTTCAAAAATTTTGAAAATTCAATTAAAATAATTCTGTGCTATATTTGACCTAATCCCAAATCCATCAATATTATTCTCATTTAAATCGTTTTGAATTTCTGGCTGATCATCGTTTAAATTTTCATCATCGAAATTTGGCATACCTTCTGCTACAGCAATATTATGTAAAACTGCCGCGGCCATTATAAACATTCCAATATTTTCCAGCTTAATTCGTATAGGTGTTTGTAGGGCATGGAAACGCTTCTTCCATCTTCCAAATGTCTGTTCAATAATGACACGCGTCCTGACATGCGCAGCATTAAATCGTTGTTGGGCAGCTGTTGTAGGATTGAGAAAAGGTGTCAGCAACCACTTACGGCATGGATAACCGCTATCACCTTAATAATTTTTCAAAAAGAAATGAATAAAAATAAATACCTAACAAAATTCCTCGTAATTGTCTACGCTCAAAACTGTTCCACACCTCCGAGTGCCTTAAAATAAACGAGTCATGACAGCTACCAGGCCAACGGCAATTGATGTTTAGAAAACGTCCTTTATTATCAACAACTGCTAAAATACTTGTTTAATGAATCATAGATAAAAATAAACTGACCTTGCACATTGATGCTCGACCAACCCTTTCTATTGTAGTAATCTCTTCCATGCTGCTTTTCTGAAGGGGTAAGGATTGGGATATGTGTGCAATCAATCAATCCAACAATATTAGGCATACCGGCAATAGCATTAAAAGCAGGAACAGTATTATTCCTCGCCTGAATTCAAATGATTTGAAAAATTTTTAAAAGTTTTTACTTGTTCATACTCCTCAAAGAAGATAAAATCTCCAGCCTTTAAACAGAGTGCTCTCGTCACGCGACGAATCGAGTTTGAAACAGACTTTTGTGAAATTCCTAGAATGTCACTGCACCATATTTGAAAAGTAGACGCAGCTAAGTATCCTAAGGTTGCCAAAACTTGCATTTCTGTTGATAAAGCACCAGATTTTCCTGTTCTCGGTTCCACTTCAGGCCGGACAATATCACAAATATACTTAAATTTAATATCAAAATTTGATTAAATAAACTAAAACCTTAATTCCTCGTCTATTAAATCTGAATCTTTTTAGTAAATCCTCATCCGAAAATGTATTCAATAAATCATTTCTTCTCAAATAAATTTTTTCATTTCGTTGATTTCTGCCATCATCCTCTTCTTCAAACGGCATAAAACATACAAAAGCCATTCTGAAAATAATACAAATATTTAAAAACTTTAAAATATTAAAACATTTTAATAAATGTAAATTAAAAATTAAATGTAGTATAATCATTTATTCAAAAATAAATTTCAAAAAAATTAGTCAAACATGTTATGATTCATAAAATTTTCGGCCTGATTTAAAAAATTCAATTCCTTCTTCCATAAATTTGTTTGCTTTTGTTAAATATTCTTTTTGCATTTCGATTCTTTCCATCTCGCCTTTAAGGACCTTTAATTTGAGATCTTCGATTTCCAATGCTTTTGGACGAATTGGAATTCTAGAAGTTGTTGGGGTGTCACATGAATGTCGGCTCTTAAAAATTAAATAAATTAAAATTTAATGATTTAAATTTAAAATTTATTTTGACATTTTTTGGTCTTAACAATTCAAAATTCAAAAAAACCTGCCTTTTTAATATTACCACTATTTGGAGTCTCCATCTGTTAGTCATCTCTGGTGTGAATACCATTTTAATAAAGATAAATGAAAAATTATCTTCCTAAATTTAATATTTTAATCAAATATATAAAAAAGAAAAAGTAAAAAAAGAAAAAAATAAAAGGTAAAAATGCTCACAATTTTCTATTTATTCGAAAAATCAATTTTTGGCGCGAATTTAAATTTTAAAATATACTCATATTTTACCTATCTGCAGCTAGGTATCTGCAGATAAAAAAATCCGTAGCTGCAGCTACATATCCTTAGCATTGTTACTACGGATTTTATCTGCAGATTTTTTTATCTGCAGCTACCCTATCTGCAGCTATGCCGCTACGGATAGAAATCCTTAGCATTGTTACTACCAGGGTCAGAGGCCGTATTGGGGTAAAAATTAAATGCAGAGATTTCGAGATATTTTATTGATATCGACTCGAAGCACCATTACCAATTAATTTTTTTTCAAAACAAATTAAATTTTAAAAATATATTTTATTATTAGGCAATGGAACGACGATTTGGTGGCGTTTGGATGGTTGCCGTTTTTGTATGTAAATAATAAATATTTTAATTAAAATTTAAAAAAGGATATTGACTTTGATGCTGCTTATACAATTGTTCGCCGTTCCCCAAGTTATATGTTATTTGGTGTTAATGATAGAGCAATTTTAATTGCTAGGGAAGGAAATGGAAGGAAAAATAAAAACAATCCTTTACTTTAAGTTAAATAAAGTCTGACTTTATTATAAGATACATTGGTTTCAGCTTCGATCATTTTCAAATCTTGGCTCCGTCACGGATACTTCAAAAAGGCTTGGACGTTCCTTTAAGCGTCGTGGACGAAAATTTCAGTATTTTCATCTGATTTTCAAGACAAAATATTTTCGAAACAAATGATAATTGCGGATTAAAGATGCATAATTTCGATAAATCCGCATTGCAATTCGCAATTGCGTCCATGCCTGCCTGAAGCCAACCAAGCCCAACCAAAAGCTCCTCTTAAATCGAGGAGTATCTAGTAGTTGGTGTATCTATAGTGAAGTCAGACTAAATAGAATCTCTATCTTATTCCAATCTTCTATCCACTATCCCAATTAATTATCCAATACATCGGGACTGGCCCGAGCCGGGATAAGTAAGAAATTGAGGGAAATTGAAAGAGAGTCTTTCTTGGATGATTGGATTTTGGAGCCTTTTTACACAAATTTATGAAAAGGAACTGTAAATATGTAGAAGGATAAGTTTGAGATTTTAGTATTGTATTGGCGATCTCTTTATTATGTATAATATAGCACTGAATGGTTCTAATGTAATTTTAATTTAGTGATTGCCAAAATTTGTATTTATCTCGTGTGCTAGATTTTCTAAATTTTGCGGGACGCAGATAATGCATTTTAAAACAATTCAGTGCTTTTTTTATTTTTATTTGCCCAATTTACTATTTTTTAAAAATTTTGTTTACAACAACAAAAATATGTAGGATTTAAAATCCATTTTTAAATAAAATTGTATTTATTTTCAAATAAAGTTTTGTTTTTTATTATTAATATGCTTTGTTTATATAAATTTATTGCTAAATAAAATCCATTCATTATTAGCATATAAAAAGAAATATGGCAAAAAATAATTTTTAAAGGAAGGAAGGGGGAATGTTTAACAATCCAACAAAAATACGAGGCTGCGATGATCGGACCAGGACCACGGCCACACGCACTATAAAACAAACAACGAAGACTGACAACAATAAAAGGAAGGGCAGAATTTATTTAAAATTAGGATGTGCGCCAAGATTCTCTGTTTTGGCGTTTCTTTAAAATAATTTTTGCGCACACCCCCAATTTAAATAATTTCCGGAAACAATTAAAGTGTTGTAAAGAGAGAGAGACTATACAGAATTAGGGGAAAAGGAAAGATAAATGAGATTAAATATTTGTATAATTTGGGTTAATTGAGCTTTAAACGATGATTGAAGACGAATGACTGATTTTCTTTTTTTTAAATTTCCTAACTGGTTCCTTCTTTTTTTGATTGAAGAGAATAAAAAAGTAGTAGTTTAATATCACAATAATAATTAATGATATCCACCACTTTTTGCACTTGCCTCCGCGAAATATCCGGGAGGAGTACGCGGTTCTATAGAAAAAAAAAGAGAAAAATTAATGGAATTTTTGAAAATATTTCTTAAAAAATACCTGGACAGTGTTCACAACTGCCCTTATCTCCGTCTTGTCCAGGAGGTCCAGCAGGTCCCTGAATTGTTAGAAATACAAGTTAACTTCAAAAGTTTAGAGAAATAAAACTTACAGGTCCGCCAGGACGGCCTTCACGTCCGGGACGTCCAGGCTCGCCAGGAGGTCCAGGAGGACCTTCAAACGATTGACCAGGAGGTCCGGCAGCTCCAGGGGCTCCTGGTGGTCCAACAACACCCGGAGGTCCGGCTGGACCTTGAGGTCCAGGCACGGGAATGAGACGACCAGGAGAGCCCTGAATATGAAAGAAATTAAAGAGAAAATATTAATTAAAACTGACAGGCGCTCCTCTAGGTCCTTCTCGTCCGGGTCGTCCTGAAATTAAAATTATTATATTTACACTGGTTTCCACGCCAGACCCAGACACATCCGAGTCTAAATTTATTTGTAAACAAACATACCGGGTGGACCATGTTGTCCAGCCATTCCTTGTTCACCAGGAACTCCTTTAAATTGTGAAAATTATTTTTCTTCTTAAAAATCTAGAAACCGTCTTTTGGCGGCTCGCCAGGCGATCCTTTAGGACCAGGTGGTCCTTTGGCACCAGCGGGGCCTTGAGGACCAGCTGGTCCTGGCGGGCATATAATACAAGGAGGCTCCACAGGAGCTGGCAAAATCTGTGCATCTTTTCCACTAGTTCCATCCTTTCCATTAGGTCCATCCTCCCCATCTGGCCCAGGTTCTCCTTCAGGACCAATAGGTCCGGGTGGTCCTTGATGGCAAGTACAACAAACTGGAGCGGGTTCTGGAGCAACAACAGGTTGATAACCAGCAGCTCCCTGTCCATAGGTTGCCCCACTTGGGCCTTGAGATATTGCTGATTGGACAGTATTTGAAGGACCAGTTTGTGCTGGTTCGTAACCATTTTCTGGTACCCACTGGCCAAATAGCCAGCCACGTTTAACTCGGTTTACGTGTCCTTTTCCAATTTGAAGTGCTGTCATTTCTAGCCACATATCTCGACTTTTTGCCTAAGTAATTTTAAAAATTCAGAGGTCAATTTAAAGAAGTAAGGCTGTTCTATTAATTAATTTCTTATACTCGGTCACAAACTATTATTTTTCCTATCGGAAAATGTATCGATAACTAAATCAAAAGTTCATTTTTTACCTTACAATGGTCAATTTCAACAATTAAATGGCTTTGGAAAGACTGTACATAACTATAAAGCATTGGAAGTGTTACAACAGAAGCAATTACTGCAACCGTCGAAACAACAACCGCTACAAAAGCAATTCGTCGCATTTGACGGTGCTCATCCTTTGAAAGAAAAATATATCTCTCGAAAATTTTCTAGTCAATTTACCGTCTCTTTAAGGCAAAACTGCTCTTTAGGTTCCATATCGCCGTTAAGCGGAGGAACAACGTTAAAGGTACTCGAGGGACGGAAGGACAATGGAAAGACCCTCTCGCCTAAAAAATGAAAAAACTAAAGAGATATAAACCATAAAAGCTTTAAAAGACACTTTCTCCAGTCATTAAATAAAATAATCAAATTGAAGAACTCTCTTCAATATAGGCCCCCAAAACTAAATGACTTGAGAGAATAATAAAAGCTTTTACAGAGTAAGGCAACATTTGCGGACCGACATTTGCGGACATCCTCTAAACTTTTTGGTTTATAGGAACTGTGATGAATACTGTACCAACAAAACAGTACTGTATATACAAAGTATAGTATGGTGAACAACTTCCTAATGGCAATTTGTTCTTATTTTAGTCCTCCTTATTTTTGTCCTCAAATGTCGCAATCGCAAATGTTGTGCCTTTTACAGTATTTTATTTTCAAAAAATATACATATAAAAAAAGATAAAAATATTTTTATCTTCACAATCTAATAAAAATAAACTAGCTCTTTAAATATTTTTGTCTCCTATTTATATAGCAGAATGCCGATTAAATAGGTTCGGATATATCCATCAAAAGGAAGAAAAAAGGCAACCGCTTATATAGCTTTTTTAATGTTAATTCTTCCCTGAAATTGTTCATTTGTCACAAAACTCGTTATTTAAAAACACCACACAATTATTTTTATTTATTTATTTACTTGACAAAAATTTTAGAAAAAATAAATAGAAGTAGAAAGATGACCATTTACTACTTCCTCTAAAAAAAGCTTTACAGGAATTTTTAGTTTAATTAATAGTGATAAAGCAGGAAATTGTTTGTATGTATTAAAAAGTTATAATTTGTATTGTTCTTTGTTGTTGATATTTAATTATATAATGAGAAAATAAAATAATATTTTTTAAATTGACATTTGAGGGGGGGAATCCTTTTTTAATCTTACGAACGGGAACACTCAAGATTAATCCCGCTAAATTCCATAAATCAAAAGAGGTATGTTGGAGCCTACGAAATCTTTCGTGGACATAAATACAGTTGTTCAAGCATTTATTCAAATTTAAACGAAAGATAGGTAAATGTTTAAAAGTACATTAAAATTGACAACAAGTTTTTTGTTTATTTTTAAAATTTGTTTAATCTTGAAAAGTTTTTTTCTTCATGCATATAACCAAAGTATAGCCAAACAAATCAGACTTAGGATACGGACAAAGATGCAGATAATTTCAAAATTATATATCCGCCTGTACCCGCAGTAAATATACTGTTGTAAATTTTTCTGGCTTCTGGGAATCGTGAAAATTCAAAAATTTTCGCCTGCGGCGCTGAACAGCGATAAACACTAGTTTTTTGGGTCTTAATGGACTAAATTTTTGGCGTTTTGGCGTCGTTTTTGGCCGATTTTGGCGTTCTGGCGTTTGGCGTGATTTGAAAATTTGAAAAATTGGCGTTTGGCGCGCCACGCGAAAATTTTAGCGCACAGCCCGAAGAAGGTGAACTCATACATATTTTACACTCAAACTGAGAGAGAAATTTGGTATTCAATCAGTCACAATTATTGGCACTGAAACAGTCACAACTAAAATAAAAAAAAACTGTCTCACGTCTCTCTTAAATTAATTCAGTATTTCCTTTCCGTCTGTCACTAATTTAATTCTTCTTGCGTGCGTCAACGATTTTGTGATTTTTACTTTTCTGTGTTAATCATTTGTCGATAATTTTAGTAAAAATTTTGTAATTTTTGTTGTCCAAACTTGGTTAGAAAAAATGCAAATTAACGAGAATGGCGAATCAAATAATATCAACAAAAAAATAGAAACTTCACAAAATTCTGAAAAAAATTTGTCAAATGTTATATTTCGAAATAGAACAATGGAAAGTTATGAAATGAGTCCAGAATTGGAAGACAACCATGAAGGTTTCTTTAAAAGAAAAAAATTTCTAAGAAATTTTTTCAGAAATTCGAAAATTGGATTCTCAATTAGATCATGTATTTTATTTTAAAATTATTTTTTTCTAATTAATATTTAATAGTTAAATGAATATATGGACAAAGTTGAGGAACGAATTAAAGCTCATAATGACAAATTAATGGAAACACTTAAACAACAAAAAGAGGATAGAGAGAAACGACGACAAAGTTTTCATGAGGTTTGAATTCATGTATTCATTGTCAATTGCCACAAAAAGGGGGAAGTTTCGCAAAATTGTTATTTACAATGACTGGCGCCCCCATAATTAAATTACCTAACTAAATGACTTTTTGAAATTAACTCAAATTGAAACTCTTCATATTAATATATTTTCTTTTCATTTTAGCGTCTTGAAATGGGCCGTAGCGAAGATGAAGATTTTCAGAAACAATTACATTCGGTTTTTTTATTTTTCAAATTAAAAATTTTTTTAATTTTAAGGTTCTAAATCGTGTGGATTCAATTCGTCGAGTCTGAAGAAAAAATTAATTTTTGGGTTATTTTAAAAAATATATATTTCTTCTAAGTTTTTCTTTTTTAACCCAGTGATAGGTTTTACTAAAAATTATTCTAAACTAAAAACGCTTTTCTTAATTTTTAAATTTAAGAAATTTTGAGGTGGGAGAATTCCAATTTTTAACCCGCTAAACTATTAGAAGAGCGTTAAAGTATTATATATAAAACGGCCAGTAGTTTGAAAAACACTTAAATTTTTTTATATAAATCACTTAATAGAATTATTCTTACACTTAACACTTAAAATGCATAAAGTTGTTTTTCTGCCTCTTATAAATTTTTGAATTAAATAAAAAATGTGGAGGGGGAGAGGGGCAAGCAAAAATGATGCTAAAATATGTAGAATAAAGTGTAAACTTGGTCACTATGTAGAGAGGAAGATTGCTTCTCTCGTAACCTCCCTCACATGCCCAATTTTCTCAAATCCATAACCCAATAATTTTTATAAAACCATTACCATTTTTAAAAATTGTTAAAGCCATTGTAAAAATCAAATGAAAATTATTTGAAAAATTTTTTGGCACAATTTAAACGTAACGAATTTCCTCCCAATCTTTTCCTCTTAATCACAATCGTTTCCTTATTCTTCCCACCTCTTTCTTCATTTAAATCCCTTCTATTTCTCAATATTTTCATACATTTTCTATAATCATTTAAATTTTGTGTCTCTTCATCACTACTTTCTTCATTTGAAGAATTTATTGCAGCAGAAAAAGTTGTTGTTTTTGTTAAACAATCATCAGAATCGTCACTTAATATAGATAATGTTCTTTTTTTATTGGAAAGATTTAAAGAAGAATTTTGTTTTAAAGGAGATAAATCTAATTGTTGTTGTTCTTTGTTTGAATCTGAAGTTCTCTTCTTTTCAGCTCTTTTACATTCCAAAAGATGAAGAAATTCGCTGTTGGTACGTGGTTCAAAACCTTCTAAAAGTGGTGATAATTAGAAAATTTAAAAAAATCATTTGTATGTAGAGTAAATTTTAAAATCTTTAACGCGAGTATTCATGGTTCAGTGGTAAAGTTCTCGACTATAAAATTTTTCTTGAGGGTTCGAACCCTCACAGTGCTAAAATTTTATTTATGTTGATTTTTTGTTTAAACTTTTTTATGAAATATTAAAAGAAATTTTGTTAGCATTTTACTCGATTGTTATCCATTAAATTGTCGACCTATTCCCCCATTTATATAATTTAAAAACCTTCTGATTGTCGTTGTGCTATAAATTCAGCCAATTTGTGTAATTTTTCTTTGTCAGAATCATTAAACCTCTCATTTTTCAAACATTCACGCAAATATTCTAAGGCAGTCCAATCATCATCATCTTTACTCGAAGCGCGTGCTTTAAATTGCAGAAGCATTCTGGCAATGCTAACATTGCCGAAGGAACATGCTTCCATCAAGGGGGTAAGTCCACTTGAAGTCTAAAAAAGAACGTTTACCTCTCAACCCCAAAGGCTGTTAAGTAAAAACAATTTACAATTTTATTTTGTTCAGAATCAACAAGAAATTCAGTTGAACGGGTATTTGGATTTGCACCACTCATTAATAATAGCCGGACATTTGCCATATTTGATGCAGCCACTGCTTCACTTAAAGGTGTCCATCCCCCATGATCTAATTGATTAACATCATATCCTTCTCCAATTAATTTTTTTAATAATTGATAATCATCAGAACGAGCAACTTCATGCAAACTTGATTCTCCATGTTTATTCATATTTCTTCTTCCTTTGATTATTTTTTCTTCGTAATCAATTGTTTTCATTTCAGCTAAAAATGTTTTCTTTTAGATTTTATATAAATTGAGGGTTGAATTGTGTTTTGAATCCACTCGGAAAATAACATTTAGTTATTCCCACAACGGACGAGATTTTTGTCGTCGTAAACAAATTAATTCTAATTATTAGAATATGAACCAAGGCTATCAGAGTTTTTCGAAGAAACTAAAGGTTTACTGATTTCAGTCCCAAAACTCGGCACTCGCATTAAAACTCCGAATAAGGACTTCAAAATTCCAAATTAAATGCAAATTATTATAAAATCTTATAAAATAATTTATAAATTTTAATGACAAGTTATGAGATCAGATCAAGTGCCTGCCCCAAAAAAGTTATAATTATTTAATATTACCTCTAATTTCAAAAATTATTTGCTCTTCATTCATTTCATCAAATTCATCTGTAAAATTAGAAGTAGAGTCTTCTATTAATTCATTTTCTTTCCGCCCTTCATCATTTTCAGCCAAAGAATTTTCTAATGAAAGTCTTTCTCTTCTCATTTTAGCTATCTTTTCAGTTGAATATAAATTGTTAGACTTCAGAAATTTAATAAATTCGGGTAATAATGCAAACTAAAAATTGAAAAAAAATAGTTTCAGAAAGATCTTGATTTTATAAACAATTTAAAAAAACCTTATATTTAGGTATAGAACAATCATTATAAACTTTTTTAATTTTTTCCAAACGTTCTTCCAAAGAAATTTGCTCAACTTTTATGTATGCAAGGGCGATTGAAATGTCGGTTTCGAGAAGCTTAATAAAAATATTTTAGAAATATTTTGGCGAAGATATTTTTGTTATATTAGGTCCCATTCAAAAATTTAATATATCCCCCCGACTAAATTGCAGTTATAATTTCATTTAAAAATTTTGAATCTGGATGCCTTAGAATGGTACGATGCATCTAGAGGGTAGCTACCCGGAACATCATTTAATAAATATTTTATTGTTAATTAAGAATATAAAATATTTTCTTTAAAAAAACCTTTTCATCATCATATCCCAATTCTTTTTCCCATTTTCTTGCTTGTTCATAAAAATGAACACATCTTTCCCATAATCCACAATCTTTAGCAGTTTCAGCCATTGAAATCCAAGCTTTTCTTTGATCATCAGCAGAATCACAACATCTAGATATTTAAATTAATTAAAAAATTTATTTTCAAACAAAACTTCATCATTTTATTATAATAACGCAAAGCAATTTCATTAAATTCCAATTTTGATGCTTCATCTCCAATTTTTTCGAATAATACCATTTGTGCTCGACGTCTTTTAGAATTGTCTTTCGAGTCGAGATTATTCGCTTTCTTTTCCCTTTGTTCGGTTTTATAAGCTTTAATAGAAATAATTTGAAGTTAAAATGTTATTAACCTAAAAGGATATATCCAGAATATTTTTTTAAAAAACTATTAGCCCCTTTGATAACCCTCGGTTTAATTCAAAAAATAAAAATCAATGTATTAGCATAGAAGGGCCAAGGCACAGACTAGGGTTGTCAGTTTCAAACCGAAAACCCGAAGATTTTAGGTTCGGTTAACCGAAGAATTTGGCAAACCGACAACCTACTACAGACACTCCCGTGATGGTAAAAATAAAGAAACTAATGTGAAACAAAGGACAAAGATTCTTGTTAAAAAACATTAACCCACCCCTTCTATTACCTCAAAAATAAAAATTATTACTTACAAAAAATCAACGCATTTTTCAAGTCAGAAGCTAAATCGGCAGAAATAGAATCTGGCTGTTTCTCAAAATCTTCAAAACATCTCCAAAGTAATCTTTTTGCAGAAATTAATGTTTCTCCATCCATTTGACGAAATTTTTCCTTAAAATTAAAAATTAATTTTTCTTCCATTTAAAAAATAAACCAAAGCTAAATGGCATTTGCTTTCTTTTTTAAACCGCCTTTCATCTGCATTTTTTGGAACAATTTTTGAAGCAATTGTACACATTGACTCTGCAATTTGTTGTCGTTCTTTTCCATTTGTAAAATTTAATTTAATTAGAAGACTTCGATAACATAGAGCCCAATCATTATTTTTTCTAAAATGAAAAAATATTTCTTTAGATTTTCTATCCATCGTTTACTGTGACTGCGAATTTGATGAATCTTTTGGTACCATTCGATTGAGGACCCTCGATTTACTATAGTTGTTTGCGTTTTTTCTTTCAAAATTAGTTTGGGCCGAGTCATAGCCGTTCAAAGTTTCAGTCCTCGGATTGGTTGAATAACGAAAAAGTATAATGAAAACCCGCAAACAACAATAGTAAATCGACGTCCTCAATCGAATGGTACCAAAAAGTATATCAAATTCGCAGTCGTAAACGATGGTTTCTTGTAAGGCCAAAAATTTAAAGAAAAATTAATTTAAAAAATTTAACGTTGCAAAATTCATAGCTTCCTCATTTGCTTCCAATCCTTTCTTGTCATAATCATATTCATGAAAATTATCAGAAACGTGTAATTCTAAATAAATGGCAGCAATTAAATTTTGTAATTGGGCCATTCTACAAGACGAATCCCCATCAATTTTTTGATCATTTATTTCAATGGAATGCTCAATTAAATAATTTCTACATCTTTCAGCATATTTTAATGCCTTAAAATTTAAATTAAAAAAATTTTTAATTAAAAAACCTTTTTAGGAAGTTCACAAGACAAACAAATGTGTGCACGTTGATGAAGTGATTGTTGAATAATTGATGGATTTTCTGAAGTATAAGCAAAATCTAGAGATTTGTTTATTTTATCAACGGCAGAATCGAAGTCTCCTAAATTTAAAATAAAATTTAGAGGATTTTTAAAGGAGATTTCTAAAGAAATTTTTAATCCTGCGAATGAAAGCTTTTGTAAGAATATAGAATCGATCGATCGATTCTCTATAACCGAGATTTCTGTTAGAAATCTTGTTTCGGTCCGATCTTTAGTTAAGTTCCAACAATTTTTTAATTTTAGAATGAGGCAGATAAGGCAAAATTTGTGCCAATAAAAGTATATTTGTTTTGAAATTTTTTTCGAGAGATTTTGAAAAATTTCTCTAAATTAATCTTTTAGTAAAGATGGACAATTTTCATGTTAAACCAGAGTAATTATAAAGTTTATATAAAAATACCAAAATTTAAATAAATTGCAACAATTGATAGGAAAAAAATTAAGATTTTTAAGTCCCAAATGATTCCACATAAAAATCTTTATAAAAAATTTAAAAAACCTTTTTCTATAGCAATTTCTGCAAGATTCCTGTAAGCCAACGAACAATCAACAGAACAACTTTCATCCTCCTTTCCCCACAAAATTACTTCATTATATCGTTTTTCAGATTCATTAATTAAAAGTAAACTATTTCGAAGATATTCAGCCAATTCCAGACAAATTCCAGTTATTTTTTCTGGGGAAGATTTGTAAACTCTTTTAGCATTTTCTAATTTTTTAAAAAGAGCTGAAAATATTTAAAATTAATTTTTTTATTAATTAAAAAAATTCAAAACTTACAACAATATTCTCTGTCATTATTTAATTTAACCATAAATAAATTGAAAATAAAATTAGTAAAAAAATAATTTTTTTTTAAATCTAAAAGAAAAATATTTAAAATAAAATTATTATTTATAGTAAAAAATACTAAGTTTATTTACAAACAAAGTTTATATATGTCTCTTTTAATGATCATTGATATTTTATTGTTTGGGTTAAAAAAGGTGTGGGGATTTTTGAATTTAGGGAAAATTTTTGGGAAGCCAAGCTAGTTTGTCTCTATTGTTAATATTTTTGATAAATGTTGACTAAAGATATTGTTAATTTTAAAAATTGAAAAATATTGTAGAGACTTTTCTTTTACTTTTATTGCAAAATAATTTAAAAGTAAATTAAATGCAAAATTTGGCAAAATGTTTTTATGTCATTTTGTCTTTTTCCTGACGGGCATTTCATTTTATTTTCAAGGAAAGCCGAAGCTAAAATTTATTTTTTTATTTTTGTTTTTTATTTTTTTATTTTCTAAAATTTATTTTTGTTTATCGAAAGTTTATTCAATTTAGAAAATAAATTTAAAATTGTAAATATATTTGTCTAATAATATATTTTGTTTGTTAATTGTGTAAATTGTCTTTTATTTTTAAAATTTAAGGTAATTTAACTTTTTTAGGAAATGTCGCAAGCTGTGCCAGATATTTTAAAACAAAGGTTTATTGAATTAGATGGAACCTCACAATCTTTAATTCCCTGTACTAACAATGACAAACATTCCCATACAAAATTTGCTAGTGGAGGGTTTCTGCTTTGGAAAGGTTTTGTCTTTTTTTTCTTTAAAAGTTAAAATTCCAATTTATAGGCGTTGAGAGTGGATATTTTTACGTTGTTGAAGTTTCATCGCCTGGTTCTATTCTCATTTTTGATGGACGCAATAACAAAGCAGAACCGATATTAGAACATAAATTTGGCAGAACGGCCATTATTATTGACGTTGTTTATTTTCCGGCTGCCAGTGATCGGCCGGGAGTTCTTGTCGCCGTTGCTGACCGTTCTATGGAAAAAGGTGACTATGTGGCTTATATTTCTCTACGTTCGAAGAAGCTCTTGAATTCTTGTTATGTGAATTATCCAATCACGAAGCTTTGTTCAATTGTTGACGGAATGTCTGCTCGTGATACATTGCCTAAACTTTCCAAAAATCTTAGAACGGTAATAATTTAAAACATTTTTTGGGGTAAAATTTAAAGATTGTTAGTCCTTAGAAAAAAACAGCATTAAAAGTCTCTAATTCTAGGATTGGCCTCATATTTTTCTTGTTGGCTGCCGGCTTGGTTACGCTGCTCTGCTTTGTATGGATATAACGAGTGATGATCCAGACATGATGTTTTTGACTGAAATTTCTGAATCTCCTACAAAAGCGGTTCAAACTGTGCAACGACCATCTAGACCAAAGAAATATGTTCACCTTTCAAGTTTGTTTAATTAAAGTTGATTTTTCTCTTTATTACGTTTATTTTTAGAGGTTTTTTATGATGACCAAATGTTTGCATTCCGTTCAGATGATGGAACAAATCGATGTTATGCACTTGGTTGGAGTTTAAAAAATACGTATTAATTTCGATTCAATTTTAGATCGCGTTTTTGTTTCTGCTCTTTATTGGATTGAAAGATCTTGTTTGTTGGTTATTGGATTTAATTTTGGTGGTATAATGATTGTTTCTCTGAAAACATCAAAAGTTTATTCATTGTTATACGCTGACGCGATGGTTCAACATTTTGCTCATCTTGACCCCGAAGATGATCCGAGGCCTGTTTATTATATGTGGATTTCTTACAATTCAATGCAATGGTTGTTTTTGGAGATTATTTTTTAAGTTGATAATTTTAGTGGAAATACTTTGCTTCTTTGCACTGTCAATTTTCCAAAAGATGAGAAGGAAACTAACAATCCGGCTGAATGGACTTTTCTAGAACCTGTTTTTACGCCTTGTCTGAAGGTTTTTAAAATTTATTTTTTTTTAAATTTTAATGTTAATATAGTGGTCTCCTGACAATTGTAATCGTTTGCTGACAATGAGGACTATCTACAGATCAAAGCAGCGATCTACTCAAAATGGTGTAAATCAACGTCCACTTTCTTCATTTTCAAATTCTTTCTCTGAAACACAATCTAAAAATGGTTTTTTAATTTTTTTTTTGAACATTTATTATTTTAGATACCTCACTTCTCTTCATGGCATGGATACAAAAGACCAGTCGCGATGATGCAACTCTTCATGTAATTTATTTTTCTCAAGATTTATTAAATTAAATTCGCCACATGTTTAATTATAATTTAACGTTTATTCTGTAGGGTTCACTTTTCGATTTAAACGCCTTCTATGCAAAACGGTGTCTTCCCAAAATTCAACATGATGGGACTATTGCTCGTCAATTGCCTTTTTTTGCAAGATTTACGTCGCTTTATGTTGAAAATAAAATCGAATCTGTTGCTAAAAATAATTCTATTTTGGCAAGTTTTCACGTTTTAAATTACGAGACTTCGATTTTAGGACATATCTGTTTCAAATGTACTTCAATTTGCTCCTCCGGCTTTTATTAATGAAAATACCGACCAATTATATTATTCATCAACTTATCATCTAGATTTTAATTGTTTGACGCCAGTGAGGGTTTTTAAAGCAAAAGTTCGGCCAATTCAGACACATTTAATTATTGAACTTTCTTCGAATATTTTCAAATATTTTCAATCTCCTCATTATCCAGCTCAATGGATTTATGCAATTGGATTGGCAAATTCGCCGGCAGCTTCTGACAATTTGGTTTTTTAAAATAATTTTTTTGATATTTTTGATTTCTTTAAGAACGAGGAACGCGCATGTCTTTTAAGAATTATTGTCCATGCTTTCTTTCCATCAATTCTAACGCTTATTGACTCTGTTAATGACAACATGGATTATTTAAAATTTATTCAGAAATGGGTGTGGAAAGAGGTTGAAGTGACAAAATTGAAATTTGATGAATTTTGTGAGTTTTTTTTATTTATATTTAGTTGATAGAGGGAGGGCAAAATTTTTGGCGCCAAAAATTCGGCACAGAAAAATTTCCCCCCTTCCCCCAAAACAAAAGGCCCCCCCCCATATTTTAGACTTGCCCCCCCCCCCTGTATTTTAAACTAATTATATAACTTAAATCACTTGTATGTCTATTTTTAGGTGCGCCTTTATTTGACAACCCTCCGCTTGAGGCTTCACCAAGTGTCAGAGGTTTTATTCAACATGCTCGTGTCTTTTTCAAGCGTGCTTCTATTATACTTGAGGCTCTTGATGCTAAAATTTCAAAAATCTCTGGGAAAGGTTTTTAGTTTTTAGAGATTTTTAATTATTATGATTTCTTTATTTTCTAGAAAAGAGTCGGACAATACTCGTCCAAGGAAAAATTGCTAAACAAATTCGTCTTTATTCATCAACAATTGCCTTTGCTCTAGTTTACAATCTCCTTCCTGTGAATAAATTTAATTCGAAGCTTTATGAAGCTGTTAATGATCGTTTCTCTCAATTTTCTGAGAAAGCACGACGGAAAGGGTATAATTATTTTTTGTTTCTAAAATTATTTTCCGTGTTTAGAAAAGAACTGAAAATTCATTCATTGCTTGATGAAATTATTAAATCAAATCCAAATGAGGATATTTGGCAAGGAAAATCGGCTAATGGGTGGTATCCTCCTAGAGACTTTAAGGTAAATTATTTTTGGATTATTTTAGGAATGGGATCCCGGAACTTACATATTTACTTTAACTACCCACCCCAAAATTTCGCCGGATATATTTTGTATATCCGGCGAATATATTTTGTATATCCTACCCCCTAGCCGCACCAAAAGCAGTCATTCCGGCGATAATTCAGTTGCCCGTAGTTTTGTTAAAAATCGTCAAATCAAACTACCACTCGCTTCAGCTCGACGAGCTCTTTCGATTGACGAATATATTGTCCAAATTCAAATGAAAAATCCCTCGGCAAAATTTTGAGGTGGGTAGTTAAAGTAAATAAGTTCCGGGATCCCTACAAGGGTGTTGCCAGGGGGCTTCTGAACGTGAAAAATCGGAATTTTAGAATATTTCTTTAACACTATGGAGGTTAAAGAATAATTTTTCTGATAGATCATACTTTTCTCAAAAAATTTTGGACCCTCCATAGGGTTATTTAACTTAATTTTTTGTTTAATATGTCAATTTCACGTTAGTGTTTGCTGCCCATAATGTCGCTTTTGAATGTGACTGAGAAAGCCAAATTAACTATTCTTGGATATTATTGTCTTGATTTGGAGGTTGCGTCATCTGTTTTTGGTTCAGAAGTTCAAGCAAAAGACGGAAATACTCCCCCATCATCATCATTGAATTTTAGAAGATTTTCTCCAACAGAAGAAGATAATTCACATCCATATCAAAATAGAGAATATTTTTCTTTATTTCTTTCGTTCGTTTTGCAAGAAGATTTTTCTTTAGAAGAAATGAACAAAATAAAGGCTTTTTGGTTGGAAGATAAAAACCTTCTACAAGTATTTTTTCTTAATTTTTTAGTAAGAAAATATTTTTTTATTTAGTCGAAAGCTGTGGTAGCTCAACCGGAAATTGTTCAGCATGATGATCAATTGTATTCTATCAATTCACTTCAAGATATAAAGAAGACTAGAGGTATGAGTACATTTCTCAATTGAGAATTTTTGTTGTGGTGCTTATTGTTAGACTTTGTTTTAGTTGGGGGAAATTTAATTCTAGTTCTCTCTTTTTGTTGGTTTGTCTGAATGTGGTTAACTCGGATTACCTTATTTTTTCACAAAATTTTAAAATATATGAAAATATCTCGTTTTGATTTCGAGAGTCCAAATAAAGATTAAATTGAATATAAAAACGTTTTTCCAGAGTATTATCTTGCAAAAGAGTGGGGCGTTTTCCTCTTTAACAATTTGATGCTTGAACATAGACGTTATAAATTACTTATGGATATGCCTCCACTTAAAGGAAATGAACCAGAATTTGTTCAAAAATGTTATACTCAATGTATGGAAATTCGTAGACAACTTCCTTCGCTTTTTAAGAAGATCGAACCTTTGCCGACTTTTATTATGGAACGATATAAACAAAAAGGTTTTTTGTTGTTTTTTGTTTTAAATTTATTTTTATATTTTAGTTAAGCAAAGTAAAGGACCGGGCAAAATTTTATTTCCAATGGATCTTCGAGAATCTCAAAGTCAACCAATTTTGCCCCTTCGGTATTAAAATCGTTGAGATTTTAAATATTTTTGTATTTTAGAATCAAAAATAGTCCTCTTGTTGATGGTGACAATCTTCCCAAATTTTTTGCTAAATCTGTTGAAGTTACGTCGGCTCTTAGAAAGAGAAGTCTAACAGGCCGTTTCTCCGTTTCTGATGAAGATAATGAACATTTTGAAGAATTACCTTTGACTATTGCTACGCCGAGGTATATTTTATTTATTTAAACTTTGTTTTCGGGATCTGTCTTCTGGCATATTTTTTGTTTTTAAAAATGAAAGTTAACTAAAAAATTTACTTAAAATTGTGAATTCAAATTTTTTGAAGCTTAAATTTTTTAGGGGAAATTTTTTAAGATTTTTATTTTAAGAAAACGTCAACGATTATTCCTTTTTGATTCATCATTAGGAGGGGCTGTAGCTACTCCATTGACGGAACCTGAGAAGGAAACTGTCAAAACTTCTCCAGTAATTTGTGAAGATTTACAGAAAGGGTATAATATTTTTAATTTTCATGTTTTATATTAAAAATTTTTTTAGTTGTGTCAATGCCAAGGAATGGGACAGAATCTCTAAAATTACACAGACGCCTTTATCTTTGCAAAGAAGCATAAATCAATCAAGGTTACCAGGACGGAGCAGAATTGGTTCGGCACGTACTGCGCTCTTCCGAGATGATGGACATAAGCTTGTGGCTCTTCAGAACGATGGGACATTAACTCCAATAAAAGCAAGAGATCAAAATGCAGAGATTTCTCCAGAACCAAATATTGTGCGCGCACAGCCTCCTTCAATTCTAAAATCTGATAATCGAAAATCGCGATTGCCGTCAACCGCAAGATGTTTGTTTTTGTTGTTTAATTTTAATGATTTTACATTTTTAGCCGAGAAACCAAAAATTCGTTTTTCTCAGTCACTCTTTACAACAGAACGTATTCCTTCAAGATTCGAAAAGTTTGTTAAAAATATTTTATTGTGGATTAATTTTACGAAATTAAGGGAGACAGAAGAAATGAAAAATACATCATTTACAAATTTTGCCGAATTCTCGCCAACTGACTCATCTCCGACGTCATCTCGATCTGCTGCATCTCGATCTGCTGGGCCTGGGACAGACACCAAAAAAGAAACCACTCCAAAAAAGAAAGCAAAGAACAAAACTCCATCTCCCCAGAAAATTTTAAGGCGAAGTCCACGCCGCCATAGGTAAATTATTAAACAAAATTTGATAAATATTTTGTTTTATCATGTAATATTGTGCCCTATCTGTTTTTGACTTAATTTTTGAATAAAATATTTTATTTGGTAATTTTAAATAAATTAAAAATAATTGTTTAATATTTTTCGTATTAAAACAAAATAATCAAAATTCGGTCGGGTGTCCACTCTCTTTTGAAATAAATTCTTAAAACCGTCTAGAAACGTTCTCGTCCAAACTCTGATTTCGTTTTTCTTTACCTTTTTACTTGATTGTTAGAATAATTAAACCCTTTTCAATTCCAATGTTTTGTTATTAGACAAAGCTTTCCCAATAAATATTTTTATTTCAACTGTACATGTTGAAAAAGTGCCATTTGTTGGGGTAAACGAAAGCGAGAAAAGTGCATAACAATCCGCCAAATTTGTCTCAATTTGAGGGAGACATTCAACACAAACACCAGCTCTGCTTTTGCTAACATAGAGGACTCGATTGGAAGTCCTAAATAATAAATTAAAATTTCTGCAGAACTTCCCGACATTGACCCTCCAAAATTTAAAGACTTACTCATTTGGTGCTTCAATTGCAAGGGGTGTATTTGAATTTTCAATAAATTTTGGTTCCTCTTCAGATTTTATTTCCACTAATTGTGTTTCGGAGTTGTCCTTGTCTGCGATGAGCAGTTCTAACGAACAATTGGATGTCTAAAATGTGTTTAACTTCGTTATAAAATAACCCAACTCGTAAAGATAATTTTTTAAAAATGGATGAAGGAAACTGCTTAAGCGAGCAACCCTCCTATTTAAGGCCCCCAATCCCAACACTATACTCCCCTCAAAATCCACCTCCTTTTAATATGACCCGGCAAGTGTATCTTATTTTGAGATTTGGAAAAGGAAGTTTTTTTTCAAAAAATACAACTAACATCAACACATTTTTCATCATTTTCACATTTTTTCCCAATTAATTTAACTTTAAAAGAATATATTGTATTATTATTTATTGCCAAAAAGATGACAGAATTTTGACCAGAAACGAGTTCAACTTGACGTGAAATTCTAATTTCTGGAAAGAAATCTGATGCGAGTAACTAAAATTAAAAAAAAATTTTTTAATAAATTTAATTATAGATTTTAATTCCATTTAGTTTTCCCAAAATTGGTCAAAAAAATAAATTAAAATTTTTTTTTATTAATTCTTGGAATTTGATTGATTGTGAGACTAATAGATATTTCTGTCTATTTTCCTAATTTAAAGGTTAATAGGGAGTAAACTCTGTGCACTCCTGCCGTTTAAGGGGGCCGCGTTCTCTGACCCTAATTTTGGTACCAAATTCTGAAACACCTTATACTACATATGAAAAATGTTAGTAAGGAGGAAAGGACTAATTTTGATTGATAGAAAAAATACATTGGTACGTCTGTCTCCTTAAACAGCGGGAGTGCCAAACGCTTTTATAAAAAAATATCCTCGAAACCTTTCTGCAAAAATATTCTCTAAAAAAGTCTTACAAAAAGCCCCAAAAATTCCAAAAAAAATTTTTAAATAAAAATTTTATCGATTTTTAACTAATTTTATTCATTAACAAAAACAAAAAAATTGAAAAACCTGTAATTTAGGCTTAACATCTTTTGGAGAAAATTCCCCTCTATAAATAATATTTTCACATTCCGCACATCTTAAAATTCTTCTTGAATTTGTTTTTACATGTAAAGGGTGTAATCTTCCTTTTTTGTCAGTAATTAAATGTAAAATTGATTGAGACAAATTTGGGACATTTCCGGGGTCAATTGGTTCGGTCAACAGACTTGGGTCTAATTCTTTAAATTTAAAAATTAAATTTTATTAACAAATTCTTAAAATTTAAAGAAAAACAAACCGGGAACGTCAGCAGACGGAGATAACAAAATTAAAGGTTCTTTAGTTTCTGGGATCTTTTCCAACGCTTTTTTGCGTAAATTATAAGCTCCTTGAAGGCCATAACGATCATTTTGTAAAATGCCGAGATTTGAAAGTCTGAAATTTTTTAATTAAAAATTCTTTTAAATAAAACCTTTTGGTGGTTTGAGCTTTTCGTTCACGGTCACTTTTTTCGTTTTTACTTAGCTCTGAAAAAAAAGAGAGAAAAAAGTTTAAAATTTTTGTTTAATTTCAAAAATAATTTCGTCAGTCCTTGGGCGGGGGAGGATGGCCCGCAGAAGCCTATGACCTTTTAGTAAAATATTCCAATATTTTAAGTTTACAAGTGACAAATTTTTTAAATAAAAAATTTTTGGGACGTCAAAAACTTTAAATGAAATTTAAAAACCTTTAATTAATTCACTAATCCTTCCCAATTCTTTGTCCAAAGGATTTTTAAGTTCTGGCCAAAGTTCTTCATTTGTTCTATTTTCGGGAATATCCAAATCTTTACTAGTCCATTTACAAGCATTACAATGATGGTGATATTGATCTCCTTGTGAACGTATACCCAAAAGATGACCTTTAAAAAATTTTTTTGATTAAAATTAAATAAAATTTTATTTATTTGAGTAAATAAAAACAAAAAAATTACATTTTAATATTTGTTTTAATTAAAAATATTATAATACCTAACTTAAATTTGTTCCGTTTATTTAGCCACCCCCCCCCCTCCCGAAATGGGGAAAAGGAAAAAAATTGGGAAAAAAGGTGAATTTTTTGGCCTACGGCCTTTGAAATTTTAAAAATTTTTGACTGCAGCGTTCCCCTTGGCCCCCCCTCAAAAAAATCCTGGCTACGGGCCTGATGGGAGATAATGCGATAGTACCTTGGATAGATTTAGAATATAAAGTAAAAATAACCTTTTGTAAAATCTTACTTAATGACCACAAACCCCAAGGAAAAAATAAAAGTGAAAAAATGCGGGGGAAACCTAATTACCTATTATCCCTATACAAATTTTAAAACTCACTAATTTAATAAACTAACCACAAACCGGACATTCATAACAATTTTTGCATCGAAACCGTCTTTGTTGATTGTCAATATTTGTAACATTTTCTAAACAATTTGGACAAAAAACAATATCAATTTCTTCAATAACACAAACAGGGCATCCTAATCTTGAACATTTTCGGCAATAATGCATTTGACAAAGTGGGAACCAGGCAGAACAATTACATTTATATTTAACTAGCCAAGATTGTAATAATGAAGTCATTTTTAATCTAAAAATAAATTAAAATATTAGTAACGAAATATTTCTCATTTTCGGGACTCATCTCGATCCGGTCTCTAATTTCGAAGAAAACAGAATATGCGAAAACAGGAGAAAGGACCAACAAAAGATCACTTCATTAAGAGATCGTCGCGTCAAAATAGGTCAAAACGTCGGTATAGCCAGAAATTGACAAACTATCGATACAGTATCTACCACTTGCCCATATTTCTATTTCGGTATAGGCACTTTTCGTATACTAATCTTGCAGACTTGTTATCCCCGAAGGCCAACGAATGCCGCACAATTCAATTTTTCAAATTACGGACTTACATCTCTATGAATGCCACACTACAAATTTTGAACGCTAGATAGACAAACTCCCATACTTGATCGGCCAAACTGCGCTTTTTTGGACCACTAGGCAACCTCAAACTTCAGGCCCAGTAGAAATGAATGTATGACGATTTTCAACAAAAAGGACCCCATTTTTAGTCATTTTTAAAAGTAGTACCTAGTTGTTTCCGTAGTCGACCGCACCATTGTTATGTCTGAGGCGTCCGAGATTTTCCAATGTCGACGCACACAAGAATAACAGTTTATCCAAAGTATAATGTAGACGAAGGTAGTATTGAGCTCGAACAAACGAAGGAGTTCAGAGACTGGTCTAATATGATTCAAATAGACTGATGCTACGAGTTTTTACACTATAGTGACGCCACTACACCAACAAGTCTGGCCTGCTCCCATTTTTCATACTATAAAAACCGGGTTTTTCCGAAAGGATTACCTACCATCAAATCTTCATCTTCATTTCTCTTCAAACAACAAAACTTCAAAAACAACACAAAATCCAAGGATGTTCTTCCTGCTCCTTCTTCTAGCTCTGCTGGCTGCCGGATTCTTCATGTTCAGTCAAGGACAAGCTGGAAAGGTGATTTACACTTTACTCTTATGTTTAAAAAACGTTTCTATTAATTTTTTATTTTTTTTCAGAATGTTGACCCTGTCGAGCCGGAGCCCAGTAGACGCAGAAGCAAACGTTCCAAACGTTCTACCAAAACAGTCGACACCATGGCCTTGCTGGATGAAGACGAGGAATTGCGAATTGTGGTCGAGGATGAGCGCCCTCTCCCTCTTCATGTTGAGCCTCCTCCAGTCTTTCCGCCTGCTCCAGTTCCGTCTTCTGAAACATCATCTGCCGAGAAAACATCTACATCTGCTGAGCCTCCTCCATCTTCAAAGCCATCTCCTTCAACAGGAACAGAGCCTAAGAAGGATGCCGAAGGTGCGGACAAGAAAAAGCCTGAAAAGACGAAGGAGAAGTCATCGAAAGCGAAGTCAACTTCCAAGCGTGGAGGCCGCAAGGATAGCAAAAGTCCTGCTCCTGCTGCTACAACACCTGCAAAAGGGGAAAAGACGAAAAAAGGTAGAGTTATTTATTGTTAGCTTGGTTAATCTAGTAAAAATTTATTATTTTTAGCTAAAGATGTTGATGAAAAGAAGTCTCGTCATAAGGGCAAGTCCACGAGCAAGCGCGGCAGTGATGCTAAGAAGAAAGAGGGAGGCGACAAGTCAAAGGCGGGAGCTGGAAAGCCGGTTGCCGAAGCTACTACTGGCGAGGCCAAGAAGGGCGGAAGCAAACGCAGCAAGCATTCAGGAAAATCCAAGGAGAAGACAAAGAAGGCAGAAGGAGGAACTCCAGCTGAAACACCCAAAAAAGGAGATGATAAGAAGAAAAAGGAAGTTGCTGACAAAAAGAAAGGTAAAAGCATAGATGATTTTTGTGCAAAGCTAATAATTCATTAAAATTCTAGGTGCAACTGAAGGTGGAGGGGAGAAAGGAAAGAAGGCGAGCAAGCGCAAGAGCCACCGGGACAAAGGAAAGGAGACAGCAGCTACAAAGTCAACATCAAGTACGGCTGTTCAATCGAAGGCTGGTGATGGTACAAAGACCGCTGTCGACACCGGACCCGCAGGCAAGAAGGAAGACAAGAAAAGTAAGAAACCATTTGATCTAAACCTTCTAATGTTTTCATTTTAGAAGGAAGCCAGCGCAGCGCTCGGACCAAAAGTGAGACGAAGGCTTCTGGGAGCAAAAGGACCACAGGCGGGACGAAGTCTTCGAGCAAAAGGACTCCGAACAAAGGAAAGGAGGCAGCTGCTACAAAGTCAACATCGAGTACGGCTGTTCAATCGAAGGCTGGGGATGGCACAAAGACCGCTATCGTCGACACTGGTCCTGCAGGCAAGAAGGAAGACAAGAAAAGTAAGGAATCCATCTTTTTAATTTTCTTAAAATAATGTTTTTTTCATTTTAGAGGGAAGCCAGCGCAGCGCTCGGACCAAAAGTGAGACGAAGGCTTCTGGGAGCAAGAGGACCACAGGCGGGACGAAGGTTTCTTCCAGCAAGAGGACCACAAGCGGAACAAAAGTCGGGCACAGCAAGCGCAAAAGTGGAGTCAAGTCGTCTAAAAGAGAAGGATCAAAAGCTGAAGGGCCATCTAAGGAAACTGAGAAGAGTGCTGGTGAACCGAAGAAAGAAGACGTGCAGGCTCCTGCGGCGCCGGTTGCTGAGACTACCAAAAAGCCAGAAGAAAAGAAGGAAGAAGTAAAGGCTATCACCACCAAGCCTGAAGAAGCAGCTGTGCCCAAGAAGGAAGAAAAGGACCAGCAAGCGAAGACAGAAGGAAGCACTCCTGCGCCATTGGCTCCGACTACTGCTGCTCCAACCGAGAAAGCCACGGAAGGACAACCGCCAACTGCTGCACCACCACCAGCGCCTCTTCCTGCTCTGAATCTTGGAACGATGAGTGGATTGTATGAGAACGTGTCTGCTGGCCTTCCTGATACTCCTCCTCCTCCTCCCCCTCAAAATCCTTAAATTGCACCTTTTGTTGTATATTTTCTTTTGTCCCCTTCTATACTCAATGTTGTGTGTTGTATATATTATTGTTAGGCTATACACCTAAGTATTTGTGTGTTATAATTCCTTATCTCAGATATATGTATTTTGATTGAATTGTAATATTGTGATATGTATTGTACCTGTTTATGTATTGTATATATTGAATAATTGTGTATATAAAATGTAGTATTTTGCGGTTTATCAAATTCTTTTTGGAGAAAATTTAAAATTTCTAAATTATTGCCTAAATTATTCTGATAATTTTACTCACTGCCCAAGTTGCCTACTGTACTTACATAAGTTCCACGCTACTTCGTTAAACCCCCTTGATCCCACCAAATCCTTTGATATCCTTCAGAATCCCTTGTATCTCCGATATCTCTTCAAATCATTACTCATCCAACTTACATGTATCTCAAAATCGAGTAGGACTCGCGCTGACTTATAGTAATACTTCAATTTTTAACTGAAAAATGGCTACTACTTAATTTAAAAATTTCTCCAATTTTGCGTTCTTGCGTTTTTTTTCTTGCGTCTCCTGCGTCCACCCATGTGTACTATATAAAAATTAGTTTTAGCCTTGATCCAATCCAAGTATATTTTTCTCTGTAAAGAATAAATTTTGTTATTACAAATTAACTTTTTTTTACTACTTTTTCGTGATAAAAACTTTATTTAAAAAATTTAGGAGACTTTTGGTTATTAAAATTATCGAGAAGATCACTTTTAAAAAGGTTAAAAAATTGAGGGTAAATATTTTACAGTTGAAGTGGTAGAAAAAAATTGAAACTTAAATAATACCTAACACCTTTTAAATAATAATTTTAGTTGGAATTCTCTAGGTAACTTCACTAACGGCCATACATAAGCGTCGAAACTTAATCAGATGATAACTAGGATTGGAAAGAGTGTTAGTGATTTTCCTAGTTGGTGAATCTGGGAAATCTTTTAATTTTTAAATTAAGTCTTTTATCTTGTATACGGCAACCCTATTAGCAAGGATTTAACGATTCTAGGATCAGCGTTTCCGGAACTAGTTTATGAAACTCTGGAACTGCCAAAAATCTGAAACCTCTGTGAACCGAATTCTAATAATTTAAACACCCCTTCCTTTCTATTATTGACTTAATAACTGTCGATCATCTGGGTAATCAAAATATTTTTTTGCCCTTTATAAAAAACATTGAGCGACTTACCACTTTGTGTAGTTTTTTGTCCTCCTTTTTTCTCTCATTTTTTTTCTATTCTCTCTCTATGTACTTTTGTTTTTTTTTCATTCGTTCGCTATATTTATTTTTGCAATGTCTTATCTACCAACCGAAAAAAAAAATAAAAATAGCGAGCGGGTGGAAAAAAATTTTTTGGGGGAAAGAAAAGGGTTGTTGGTTGTTGTAAAAAAAGGAGAAGAGAGGAGGAAAGCAATCGGAGAAGGGGGAAGGGGAGGGGAGGGGAAGGATGGGTGGAAGGACGCCGGCAATAAAAAATAAGAAAAATGTAGGGGGATGGACGAAAAAAAAATATAGTCGAGTCATTTTTTCACTCATCGATCTCTTCGCTCTCTTATTTTTTTATTCTTTTTTTTTACTCTAAAAACGCGCCAGCTCTAGGCGTCCACCACTTTTTTTTTCTTCACTTTTTGCTTTTTTTACTGACAGCCAGACTTTTCGGCGCGGCTTTTTTGGCGCCGGGGCATTTTTAATCTATAACTTTTTTTGTTTTCGACCAATTTAAACGAGTAATATACCAATCGAAAGCACTTGATTTGAGGATTCTTTTTTCTGTTGGGGCCATCTTAATCCGATAACTTATTAGAAAGTTATCGTTCATTAACTGCCAAAAATCTCGATTCTCGTTATATTTCCGTCTATAACTTTTTATTTTTTGATTAAATTTTTTATTTTCTTTTTAGTTAAAATGAATAGGCTTTTCCAGAGCTTTAATTTGATATAAAATTATTAAAATCGCTTGATAATTAAAAAATATTATTAACCAAAAACACTTCTTACGCCAAAATCTCGCGCCTAAACGTCCCCTTCCCTGACAGCCCAACAACTCCCTTCCATCCCCCAATTTTTTTCTTTCCCCTCCCATCGTCGTTTTTTTATTCTTCCACCATTCTTCATTTTTTTGTATAACACAACACAATTCTCTATACCTCCCTCTCGTCTTCATCTCTTCCCTCCTTTTAAATTTAAAAAAAAATTTTTTCTTCACATTCTCTTCTTTTTTTTGTTTAGATTTTTAGTGTTCAACTAAAAACTTTAAAACTTTTAATTTTTATTTTGATATTTTTTGGTTGTTTGATTTTTCTTTTTTTTTGAACGAGTTTTTTTCTTTTTTTAAATTTAAAAATGCCATTTACTATTTATTTTTTGACTAAAAATGCGCAACACTTTTTGACAGATTTTTTCTTTAAATTTTTGTCTACATATTGATAATGATTGACTGATTGAGTGT